TTAGAGTAGGTTTGATTTGCATTTCTCGAATTGCTAGAGCTGTTGAACATTTTTCCATATATTTGTTGATTGAATGTATATCCTATTTTGAGAAGTGTCTGTTTAGTTCCTTGGCTCATTTATTGATTGGGGTATTTTTGGTGTTAATATTTTTGAATGCTTTATGTATCCTAGAGATTAGTGCTCCATCTGATGTGCTGTGGTAAAGATTTGCTCCCATTCTGCAGGCTCTTTCTTTACCTCACTGATTGTTTCTTTTGTWGAGAAGAAGCTTTTGAGGTTGAATCCATCCCATTTATTGATCCATGGTTTTAATTCTTGTGCTGTAAGAGTCTTATTAAGGAAGTTGGTGCCTAATCCTACATGATAGAGATTTGGGCCTACTTTTTCTTCCATTAGGAACAAGGTTTATGGTTTAATTCCCAGGTCCTTGATAAACTTTTGAGTTGAGCTTTGTGCATAGTAAGAGATAGAGGTTTAATTTCATTTAGTTACATATGGATTTCCAGTTTTCACGGCATTATTTGTTGAAGAGGCTATGTTTTCTCCATTGCAGGTTGTTGGCGCCTTTGTCTAATATAAGACAACTGTAATTATCTGCATTAGTCTCTGTGTCCTCTATTCTGTACCATTGGTCTACAGTTCTAACTTGGTGCCAATACCATGCTGTTTTTGTTACCATTGCTCTGTAGTATAGTTTAAGGTCTGGAACAGTAATGCCACCTGCTTCACTTGTCTTGCTAAGGATTGCTTTGGTTATTCTGGGTCTCTTATTTTTCCAGATGAATTTCATGATGGCTTTTTCTATATCTATGAGGTATGTCACTAGGATTTTGATTGGGATTGCATTGAATCTGTATAGTGCTTTTGGTAGTATGGTTATTTTGACAATATTAATTCTGCCTATCCAAGAACAAGGGAGATTTTCCCATCTTCTAAGGTCTTCTTTCTTTAGCATGCTGTAGTTTTCATTGTAGAGGTCTTTCACCACTTTTGTTCAGTTGATTCCCAAGTATTTTATTTTTTTGAGGCTATTGTAAATGGGGTGGTTTTCCTAGTTTCTCTTTCTGAGGATTTGTCACTGATTTACAAAAATGCCTTTGATTTATGGGTGTTGATTTTATATCCAGCTGCTTTGCTGAATTCATTTATTAGTTCTAGGAGATTTCTGGTGGAATTTTTTGGGTCTTCTAGGTATAGACTCTTATCATCTGCGAAGAGTGATAATTTGGGCTCTTCTTTTCCTGTTTGGATTCCTTTAATTTCTTTCATCTGTCTGATTGCTCTGGATAGAGTTTCAGGAACTATGTTAAATAGAAGAGGTGAAAGAGGACATCCCTGTCTCATTCCAGTTCTTACAGGAAATGCTTTCAACCTGTCTCTATTTAGAATGCTGTTGGCCTGGGGCTTAGCATAGATAGTCTTTCCAATGTTGAAGTATGTTCCTGATATCCCTAGTTTTCTTAGTGTTTTGAACATGAAGTGATGCATTTTTTAAAAATGCTTTCTCTGCATCTATTGAGATGACCATATGATTCTTATCTTTAAGTCTACTGATGTGATGAACTAAATTTATTGGTTTCCATATGTTGAACCAACCTTGCATCCCTGGGATGAACCCTATTTGATCATGGTGCACTATCTTTTTGTATTTGATTTGCCAGAATTTTATTGAGAATTTTTCCATCTATATTCATTAGAGATATTGGTCTGAAGTTTTCTTTCTTTGATGTGTTTTTGTCTGGTTTTGGAATCATTTGAAATCAGAGCTGAAATCAATGAAATTGAAATAAAGAAACAATTGAAAAAATTTTGTCAAAAGTTGATTCATTATAAAAAATAAATAAAATTATTAAACATTAGCCATGCTAATGAGGAGAAGGAGATAAAAAACTCAAAATACTAACATCTGTGATGAAAAGGAAATATTATGATGGATAGAACTGAAATACAGAAGATAATTAGAAATTATTTTGAAAATTTGTACTCCAATAAAATAGAAAAAAATTGAAGGCATTGACAAATTTCTAGAGGCATATCATATGCCCAAACTAAATCAGAATGCTATACACAATTTAAACAAATCAATTTCAAGTAAGGAAATTGAGGACACCATCAGAAGCCTTCCAAACAAGAAAATCCCAGGACTGGATGGTTACACAACTGAGTTCTCCCTGAGTTTTTACACAACTGGTCATTGTATTTCCTATTCTCTAAAAATTTCATTTGTCTGGTCATTTGTTCGATTTCCAACTCACATGTACATTCAAATAGATTTAACTAAAATAATAACTGATAAGCAATGAAAAATGTTAAGTAACTTAAATAATTCTAAATCACTTGGAGGTGGTTTGATTTGGGGGGAGAAAGAAGGGATCTGGTTATCAATAGAAATATATTACTATTTAAGTTCAATAACAAACTTTTTAGGACTTTCTCTAGTTTTAATTGATTTAAACCCATTTCTTTCCTGGGATATGGTTTCTTTTTAGATACACAGGTTATTCCTGACTTACAATGATTAGACTTAGGATTTTTCAGCTCTAAAGTGAAGCAAAGGCAGAGTGCATTCAGTAGAAGCTGTATCCAGAGCTGTGGCTCCCAGTCAGCCCCAAGATCTCAAGGGGAAAATGCTGATATTCTACAGTGTCCTGTAAGTTGCTAAGCTACAGTGTTTGGTACTTTAGATGTATCAAATGTATTTCAACTTACAGAGCTAAAAGTTTATGATGGGTTTAGCAGGGTGTGATCTTATTGTTAATCTAGAAAAATGTGTAAGTGTATATCTTTATTTCAGGAAAGTCTTTTTAAAAGACATTTTAGCTGTAAATGGACACAATGCCTTTATTTTATTTATTTATTTATGTGGTTCTAAGGATCAAACCCAGTACTCCACACACGCGAGACAAGCACTCTACCACTGAGCCACAACCCCAGTCCCAGGAAAATCTTAAAAATTTTTCTTTAAATACATTCTTTTTCCTGGTAAACTTTTTGTTGGGTAAACACTAATTACACCCTTTTGACTGATTTCTATGCCTATTTTATTCCTAAAATCAATTTTAACTATTGGTTAAATATACTAATTTTTTAAAGTTGGGGTACTGGAGATTGAACTTAGGGGCACTCTATCACTGAGACATATCCCCTGTTCTGTTTTGTATTTTATTTAGAGACAGGTTCTTACTGGGTTGCTTTAGCATCTCATGTTGCTGAGGCTGGCTTTGAACTCACTATCTTCCTGCCTCAGCCTCCTGAGCCACTGGGATCATAGGAGTGCACCACCACACCTAGGGGTTAAACTTATTTATATTGAATTTTTAAAACCTTTATCCATACCCTTTGCTTTCTTTTCTGTGAACCTATCACTCTTGTTTTTCTTCTTTGTGTATAGTTTCCCCCATTTCTTTTCTCACATCTTTCATTTTATTCTTTTTATTTCAACTTTGAGCTCCTTAATCTTGGTTTTGCATTCCTTTTTCTAAAAGGCATTTTTTTTCACTAAGTTATTTTTCATGACAAAACATCTTGATTTTCAGTAAAGTAGAAGAAGAGGAATGGTGGGGGGGAGGAAGAGAGGGTAGGGGAGGGCACTGGGTACTGAAATGGAGTAAATTTCATGGCATGTATGATTATGTTAAAATGAGCCCAACTATTATGTCTAACTATAATGAACTAATAAGGAAGGAAGGAAGGAAGGAAGGAAGGAAGGAAGGAAGGAAGGAAGGAAGGAAGGAAGGAAGAAAGACAGAAAAGATCATCTTGGTTACAATTTTTACCCATCTGCAGCAATGTTTTTAAAGTTACGATCTTCCTCTTTTTCTCATTTGGTCATTTTTATTTCTTACTTTTTCCTGTAGCTGTTTGCATAGATCCAGGAATGATCTATTTTTTTTTTTAGTTGTAGATGGACACAATACCTTTATTTTTATTTATTCATTTTATGTGGTGTTGAGAATTGAACCCAGTGTCTCACACAATGGTAGGCAAGCACTCTGCCACTGAGCCACCACCCCAGCCCCGGAATGATCCACTTTTATTGTTACTACTCATGTCTACGTTGGAGAGCTCATCTTCCCAAGGAGCTATCAACTGGGACCAGGGAATAGTTGGGGTAAAGAGCTGGTTTCAGGCACTTCTGTTCTCCTGTGTTCAGGGAGCATTCACTGCCACTCAGACATGGAAAATGAATGCCTTGGGCTGACAGAGCATCTCTCTGGGTCTCAGGGAATTTGCCACTGGAATGTCTGTACCACTGGAGCTAAGGATATACCTTTCTTTTCCACATTGTAACCCAGCACACGAAGTGTACACCTGTGCTGATTTTTCTTTTATTGAAGTAGTACAGCTCCAGGTCTGTGAGCCACCAGTTGTTGTTCCTCCTCCAAGCTGCCACATCAACAGACAGCATCTCACAAAGGATGGTTTCCCACATACTCTCTCTTTGGTTCTCTCTCTCCCTAGATCTGTGTGGTCTTAGGTTCAGGAATATCCTTTTAATTCCATTTTGCTTTATAAAATTTTATTCCAAAAGAAGGTCTTTAGCTGGAACCTTCAAAAATACTAATTTGGAGATTTTAGTCCTGTCTTGGAAGTGGTGGTTCTTTCTCCCACTAGTTTAATTCTGAGTGTACTTGGCAGTCATTCATAAGATTGCTGGTCATATTCTGGTTCATAGCTATTTCTTAGTTTCTTTGTTGGGAGGTGGATGGAACTTTTTCTTTTTTTTCAGTCTCTTTGAGTTGATTCCAGTTGTAATAAAAAAAATGATAGGGCAGATGGATACTAATGCCATCATTTTAAATTGGAAGTCTTGCCATACATTTTAAATTGTTAGGCAGTTTCGTAGTTCTGACCAAAGTATATTTTATGTTGGTATTATCTTTAGAGAATATTCATGCAAATCAACCTTGTTATTTGCAACTATTTCAGAACAATTTTAGAACTTTAGAACCTTTGCTCTAAAGAAAACTGACAAAAATAATTTTGCAAAATCTTACCTCAATGGCTTGGTAGCCTGAAACACCCACTAAAGGACTCTCTTCTGCTCTTGCCTCCACTGTGCTCCTGTGTTGTTTTTCTGGAAGAGAGAGTTCTAGGCTTTCAGACAACCCATCAATCTTCATCAGAAGTTCATCTAACAGACTTGCAAATTCATCCCAGTAATAATTCTGAAGGGAAGAAAGTTAAGTATATGCATTCAAGAATATAATTGTTCTTATTTTCTGAAGCATTTAAAGGTACCAACTTTGAGGGATTGTGCTATGTTAGAAAATGCACTGAACAATGGGGTCACAGGACCTTGAAACTAGACCTGTCTCTTCATGTCTTTATGTCTCTGTCTCTTCATTGATATTGTGCATATGCTGACATTTGCATAAATGCTTTGGTTAATGATGTTTGCATAAAGAATAATTGCTGTACTCAGTAGGGAAGTGGGGAAGCACAAGACAGAGTAGAGTCCTGTGCAAATCTACAGTATAATGTTTACATATGACAAGCTTCAAAATTGCACCAAGTAATACATAAATATAAGCCATGAAAGACAGTTGAATATTCACTGTGCAAATAAATACCTGTTTGGCTTTGTTGGCACTCATGTCTGGGGTGACTACACCCAACTGTCCCTAGGGTTCCAAGTTTTAGGTAGGAGTTTTTGTCTGGTAACACATACCAAAAGCGAATGACTAACTAAAGGAGACAGAATATAGTGTATGTGTGTTATGTTTTATCTATGAGGTGCCCCCAAAAGCTCATGTGTGAGACAGTGCAAGAAGGTTTAGAGGGGAAATAATTAGATGATGAGAGTTGTTACCCATTGATGAGGATTAACTGGGTGGTAACTGTAGGCAGGTAGGGTTGGCTGGGTCACAGGAGGTGTGGCTTGGGGTTTATATTTTGTCCCTCCTGAAGAGAGCTCTCTCTCTGTTTCCGATTGCCATGCCCTGAGCTGTCTTCCTCCTCTACACCATTCTTCCATCATGTTCTGCCTCATCTTGAACACAGAGCAATGGAGTCAGCTATCTGTGGACTCAGACCTCTGAAACTGTGGTCCAAATAAAGTTTTCCTCCTCTAATTGTTCTTGCCAGGTCTTGTGGTCACAGCAACAAAAATGCTGAATAAAACAATTTGTGTCCTGGGGCAGAAACTCCATCTTTCTAACCMTACAGGGTCATTATAAGGATTTAGTGAGTTAATGTAGAGAATGTGCTTGGTAAATTGCAAAGTGCTTTAGAATCTCAAGGGAGAATTCTAAGAGCTCCATTATGGCTGAGACCTAAATTTGACACTTCACACTGATATCTGGCAAAGAATCATGATCATACTTTGATAACAAAGCAAAATTCTGCAGTGAAATCACCAATTTAAGTGTGCTACTAGGTTCCCACAGCTTACATGATCTGCAACCACCTGAGCTTCTTCCGGCTTTGGCATTTCCAGACCCAGAAAAGTGAGGGCCTTCACCCATATGTAAGCAGTGATATCTTTAAATCTCACAAGAGATTTACTGTGAGAAGATTTTCTTTTTTGGAAATAAGTCACCAGGGAACCTCTCAGCTGGAGAAGAGAATAAAATGGAAAAATTCTTTGTTAGCACACTTTGTTAATTTGATAAACAATGAAATAGAGATTATGTCCCATGATGCCAGTCTATCAATTTTTATTAACTGCTTGGTAAAAAGAAAAAATTAAGAAAATGTATTTCATGAATTAAATTAAATGGCAGCAATATGAACTTGGCAATGGAAATTAACAGTTGGAGCTAATATTATTTATATGATATGTGTTTTCATGTCTACATCTCAGCTTCAATGTTCTGTGCAAGCCACTGTGACCTCTGGAAGCCCTACATGGGAGCATCTGCCTGTGCCTGGGATATTGAAAGAACCCAGAAACTCGGCAGGCTGCTGTGTCCTCATGTATGTTATCTAAATGATTCCGCGTCTTATGGATCCCTAGGTTGTTTATTTCCTTAGTTCACGTTGATACCTGTTAGCTCAAAATTCTGATGGCACCAAATAATTTTTTATACCTTCAGGTTTCTTAAAAATAACCCAAAGTAGCAAAATTTAAGCCACTTAAAGACTGTTTTTGTGTATCCTGTGAAACCTCACAGGTAAGCTGTTCTCCATTGACAAAAGAAGCTGAGGTGATAAGACTCCAACCCTGAGTCTTCAACAGGAACACCTGTAGCCACTGCATCCCTGGCCCACCCCTTATGATGTGAACACTGTGGCCTAGAGTGGCCCCTGGGAAGGAGCTGGGCAGAGCAGATGAGAACTGAGCAKTGGGGTGGTCACATAAAATACAGAGCCAGTTCCATTTTAATTTCCTGTAAGTAACAAATGATTTTTAAAATAAATGCATCTGAATTATTGTAGGGGACATACTGATATGAAACAATTTCACTGTTACTGAAATTGAAGTAACCGGATGTTCTGTATTTTTATTTGCTAACTCTGTCAGTCCTACATGAGGGCTGTATGGTTAGAAACAATCTCCTCCTCTGTCAAAGGGGTTTATGCTGAGTGACATGACTAGATTTGCCAGTTGCTGATCAGTGGGCGGGCACGAAACAGTCCCATTCCACAAATGGCCTCCATCCCAGAGAAGTGTAATGTGAAGCTTGTATGATTAGAGTGAAAMTTCGTTAGGATGGAAAGATTGAGATAACAAGGCAACAGATACTCCTGTAACAACTTGAGGTCAAGTTCAGAGTGAGAAGAGTTGTGATGATTCAGGGCAGGGCGAGGGTCCTGGAAGGCTTCCTGGAGGAGGTAGCCTCCTGGGGTGGGTGTTGGGTTGCTGGAATGTTCTAGGCAAAGACAGAATCAAATTAACTGCATTGGACCCATTCCCATAATATGGGCCTTGGGATCCATTCCCATGAGATCTGGTCTGTAAAGCCTGGAACTTTCTGTCCACATGGACAAAGATTATTTCATCCCAACAGCAGATGGAACTTTGACAGTCTTTGATTTCAAGGTGTGGGACAGGTTTACATACCATTCCAAAACACCACATGGCTGTCAACAGAAAGAGGGCCCCACAGTAACGAGCCATGTCTTCCTGGTCAGATTCAGAAAGGCTGTGGAATGAATCTTTTTGGCTTCTTAGTGGAAAATGAAATAGCTGCCTGGGGAAGGAATCTGAGAAGGTGACCGATGTCAGTGTCCAGGTGAAGAGCAGAAACCAGTGCAGGTGGGAATGAGTGGCCAGCAGTAGGGCCCCCATCAGCTGCAGAGAGAAAAGCCTGAGACAATGACCTTGGCAGCACTTCTTGGGATAGAAGACTCCTCTGGGGGGTTTTAAATACTTTTAAATAGTGAAAATCTTGGAGAAGCAGTTTGTGGAGTGAGGCTCTTGCCCACCCTGGATTAAGACCAATTCCTGAAAGGCAAGTTTCCATCCCTTCTGTTCTGCCCAGGAGTCTCTGTTCTCATCTGCACCCTCACCCTCCAATACTAAGAAGCTCTGCAAGGTGCTCCCCTCTATCCCAATTGCTCTTCCCACCTGGTGCCACTGTTCTCTCTCAGTTGATACCCTTCTGTCTGCCTTTGACATTGGCGGCCTGTCCCCTTCCCCCACCCATGCTGGAATCCCCCCCCAACTCCTACTCCAACAGGAGGCCATGTGGGGGCACCTTTCTTCTTTATGTCCCCAGAATCCAGCAAGGACTCAGTAAAATAGGCCAATTAAGAAGCAATAGAAAAGTCAATTCTGAGTGAATTTGGTTCCAGTTAAGCACACTGTCTGGGCTATACTAGACAGAGATCTTAGTCTGGGGCCTCAGGGACTGCATCTATATCATGGTTTATTTCTTACTCCATCCACTCGATCCACCTCTGGTACTGACAAGCATGTTTTCAGCCTGGATGAAAGATCACCAGGTAGTCATCTGTCACAGGTCTGGGTAAGTGGACCATGGCCTGGCCACTGGGGGCCTCCCAAGCTGCAGCCACAGCCGTGTCCTGTACTTGAGCAGGAACCATTGACTCCACCTGTCATTCTGGCCCTGCACCCAAACTCCCCTGCTCCTACCCAGGAACTAAGTGTAGTATTATTTACTTTGTAGAATCACACAAACTTAGTAGAACTCAGAAGGAAGAGAGTGCAATCTGTGAGTTCAATCTGTGAGTTCAGAAAATTAAGCTAGTGGTCTACCTGGACTTCTTAGGTTCCAGTGCATTCATACTTTGTCCTACAATWAATAGACATCTGTTTATATTCTTTTTTTTTCTCTCCATAGAAGAATTTTTGCTCAGTGGTGTTAATAATGACCAGCTGAGTTTCTGGATAAATTCCACATATAAGGATAGAGATTATCCTCCCAGGTAAATAGCATTTATATATTTCCTAGAGGTGGAGGTTGGGTTATTGGTTTGTGGTCACAATRGTGAGCTAGGAAGGGAGCAGATAAGATGGAAAGCAGTTCTTTCTGACTCCAAGGTCTGCTCTTTTGGCCTTGCTTTTCTGAATCTGTCCCTCTATGCACATGACCACCAGAGTTTGGGGATCATGTTCCCTGAAGCAGGAGACTTATGCTTGATTCCTTGTGTGTTTCTTGAGTTCTGGACCTGAGAGCCAGAGCCTCTTCACTCAGGTCTCCTGGCAAGACTCTACCTCAGCCTGACTTATTCTGTGCAGGTTAGGGAACCCACATTATACTAGAGCCAGTATGGCTGGAGCAACCAGATTAGAATTACCAGCACCCACGAACTTCATCAGGGCTACAGATTGCATCCCGGACCTGCTGATCTTGGATTGTACCCTCTAATCTAGACTTTAGGTCCACCCTGGATGAAGATCTAATATCTCCTGGGGTTAAGCCAGGCTTTCCTGAGAACTCATACAGAGAGGTAACTACTACCTGTCTGCTTTTGTTTTCTTTCTATTGTGTTCCACTGATGTTGTATGAATACACTAGTGAATTAAATAATATGAAAATAATTTCTGGCATATTAGTAGAGAATTCCTTAGGTGTAGGGTTAAGGTGAAAAATGGATGYCAGGGTGAGGTTAGAGGTCTTCCCAGAAGCAGAGCATGGTTGTAGTAACTAAGTTCCTAGGAGTTACGGTTCGGAGGTAAGCCTCATCCTCTTTCTTAGCCCTTTGCTACCTTCCTAAGAAAAACTGCTAGGTCTGCCCATAGCTTATTGTGATTTTTAAGTGAGTTAACATACAAGAGGCACTGCTGACCACACTGGACACTTAGAAAACTCAGTAAGTGATAATAATACTTACAATAGTAGTACAAATAATATGCTGTAGGAAAGTATAATACATAGCAAGTGTTTAATAAATCATRGTTATTGTTATGACCATAATTTRTGATATAACTACTGCTTTCAGTTATCTAAATCCACACTGTAATGGATTAGAGGACTGGAATTTAGGGTGGTGAATCATCTTGAGAGAGGTTTGTTTTTCCCTAACCAATGACAGTATGCCAACATATGGCTGAGCTGAGAAATCCCTGGGTAAAGAGGGACAATTCTTACCACTGGTGCAAAGATTCTGGAGAGAGAGGAACGTATCATGGAAGGGCAGGACACTGTGGTGTTTAGGGAGCCAAGAAGGTAAATGCCTTTCAATATCCACAGGAATGAGAGGATCCCCTGGAGCCATCGTGTCCGCTGCAACAGAAAAACATAGCAGGTCAGTGTGTCATGCCAATCATAGGACAGTGCAGAGGCACGCACACACCTGTGGGTCATGCATGAAGGGTCCCTTCATCTGATGGAGCTATACAGACCATGAATCTTCCAGGAATATGAATGTCAATGTCTGCAGAGGAGAATGAGCCAGAACCAGGAGGAAGTTCAAATTAGAACATTTTCAGGAAGACCAGGTTTGTGTTCTGGCCTTGAATTTCTGTAAACATCAGGACAGGGCAGGTCTGGCCATTTTGCTACCTGAGCCTGGGGTGAACTGAAAACCACCACCATGGGGTGGGAGGTGACAAAGAAAATGTGCAGTGCAGACTAATTTCCTCTCCTCTCCATATGTACAGAATATGTTCCAAGTTAATAATGTTTTTCATGCAGATTTTTCCATTTTAATCCTTATAAAAATTAGAAGCATTTCCATTCTATAGTCTAGAGACTATAGATCCAATAAATGAAGTGATCAAACAAAAGTAGCACAGCAAGAGACATGGCAGATCCAACTCAGCCTCTCAGACCTGCATCCAGCACCGGCATTCACATCCATAGATGCTCCAAGAAGATAGCTCACCTTTTTAAAGGGGGCTCATTTCTAAAGGATGCTTTCTTATGTATGATATCATCTTTTTCTCACCAAGATGATAAATTGAAGAGAAGGAAATAAAAGTTGGATTTTAAAAAACTATGTGGGCAAAGGAGAAAAGTTTTCTGATTTTTTTTTTTTTTTTTTTTTTTTTTAGAGAAAATCAAAATGACCTCTGAAAACCAAGGCCTAGACAAGCTGTGACTGTCACACCTTAGAGCAAGCAGGCATGGCTCTGCTTGGAGAGAACAGGCATGATCAGAACTATAGCATGTGCCTGCCAGGAGAAATAAAATGCAAGCTACAGTGGACTTTCAAATTTTCTAGTTCTTGCATTTTAAAAAGTAAAAGTAAACAGAGAAATTTTATTTAAACCAATATATCTAAAAAATATCATTCCCATGTATAAGAATTACTGAGATATTTTCATACTAAATTTGTAAAATCCACCTATTATTTCACATTTGTAGCACATCTCAGTTTGGACTAGCCACACTTCAAATTCTCAACAGCCACATGTGACTCATGGTTATGAAATTGGACAGTACATCTATGAACTCCCTGTGGGCAGAGTGGAAAGGACCCCTGTCTGGCCTACATTTTATTTGAGGGTTATCATAAAGCGTTCCTAGTTGTTATTACTATTATAACTTTCACTTACAGGATACCACCACCAAGCTCTGTGCTTGAGGGGTATGCATACATGTATGTATATGTACAAACACATACTCCGTCCCCCAGCTAAACTGCTAGGAAAACCCTTAGGTTGTATATCATGGTTCTACCTTTTAAAGACCTGAAGTTGACTACATAATTTGTGCCCGGCCCCAGGAATCATGAACCTCTGCTGAGCTCATGCACTMCTGAGGGGGCAGTGAGCTTTTAGGGGATGCATGGTACTCTCTCTTGCCCAGGAGGGCTCAAGACTATTCAAGAAGCTCTGTAGTTCTAGTGACATTTGCAAAGAAAGACAATTTGTATTCTTTTCCTTCAAGAAGAAAGTCACATATTCCCCTGTGTGGGCTACTTTAGAGCACATAAGTGAGTTCCTGGGGCTTGCAACAAAATGACTTATGAAAGGAGACAGGGACAACATTTGGCAAGGAAGGGAGGGATTAGCTTCAGTGGAGGAAGACCAGCAGGCCTCCCTACATGGCAGACTGGAGAGCCAGGTCAGGGCAAGATCACAGGAGGAGCAAGAGGAGAGGGAGGGGAAATGGCAAAGCTGGGTGGGGAGGTGGAGGCTGGAGGGGAACTGGTCCCGTCTGCCAGGCTGCTCTGGGACCAATCAGCCCTGGGACATGAGGTCAATTCAGGCTATGGGGTGGCCCTAGGTGTAGAAATGTGGCTCTAGGTGTAGAAATGGAGGTCTAGGGAGGTCTTTAGATGAGGGAAGTATTAGCTGTGGGTGTAACAGGACAAGAAATGTGTGGGTTCAACTTCCACAAACCCATCACGGCATAAGGCAATGGACCTGCAGAAGGTCCTGCAGGTGGTGGTGAGATCCTTGTCCTGTGGCACCCCTCCCTAGGGTTTACCTGTCCTGTCCTGCACATGTTTGCCTGATCTTTCTGGCAAAATGTTCCATCCTATAGATGGGAGCCTCAGAGGGGATTAAGGTACAGGGACTTGGAAGCTGGATGTCCCCCTATTGTGAGATTTGGGCTTTTCCTTGAGCCTCAGGATTATCACTGGTAAAGATCACCTGTATCTAGGATTGTCACAGATAAAGGGAGAAAGACACAGTGCACCTACATGTGTCAGCACTGGCCTCCTATCTCCATACTTCATGGACACCTGCTTCCCAAAGAGTATGAAGCCATATAGTTCTGCCCCATGCAGAATCCACATACCCCAGCTTGCAAAGTTAAGTTTCCCAGGCCCCTAACTGTTCTGGCCACCATCATCTGCAAGCTCAGAGCATTATCATACAACATGGAACAAACCAATCACACCTTTTAGAACTTTTGTGAACTTTGCCCTTTGGACAGCATCAGTCATGGTACCTATCTGTGTAGCCCTGAGTCCCCCACCATACCTGATTCCACAATGCCATAAGACTGAGGTCCACAGACACCTGACAAAATCCTTTGTGGAACTGGTCAGTGACATCCCCGGCAAGTGTGGTGAGGTGGCTGGAGGCTGTGTAGTAGGTGAGGGTCACTCCAATAACAGAGAGCTGCAGCAATGAGGAGAAAGGGGGAGGCTCAGCCAGCTCCTAAGAAGGGGTTGCCTGGCATCTGACCATATTTGGTCCATGAATCAACTGCAAGAGTGCTCAGCAGATGTGGTTTCAAATGCTGTTTCAGCATTAACATGATAGAGGGAGACACTGTAATGATGTTGCAATTAGCTAGTGCATAATCAACTTCCCATTAAAAAGATTTGTTCTTTTCAGACAAAAACACATTATTGACATTTTTTTTCTCACAAAGAAAATGACTTAAGACAGTTACCTCCAGCCAGCTTCTTGGCTTTTGCCAATAGTCGAGGACACCCTCCTCAACCATTCTACAGAGTTGAAAGCAGAGGTGAATCAGGTTGAGTACCAGGAAGACCAGCTGGTGAGGGTGATACAAATATGCAAGATAAGTGGAAATTCAAATGTTTTTCAGAAGTCTAACTTTCTGGCTGCCAAGAACCTTTCTTGCCAATCACCTCTGAATAAACATGATGCAAGCCACATTCTTGCTCTGTAGCATTTGATAATGAATTTTTCCTGCAATGGCTTTTGGGCAGGGTGGTACCACTTTATGTGTCAAGCTCTCATAGAAACCCAACTATGCTGGGTGTCGGCACTGCAGGCATCAGAACCACCATGGGAGTGTCCACTGCCAAAATCAGGCTTCCTAGCCTTTCTGCTGGCCACTCTAGGCCTTCCTCAGCACCACTCAAGACAATGTGTGTGTGTGTGAGTGTGTGTGTGTATACACACATATACATATATGTATGAAATATGACATCTATATATAAATATTTTTGACCACATAAAGTCTTTAAAAGCTCCTGATAAAGATTCTTATAGCAGTTTTCTTACCAGTGATGTTCCCCATTTATTCATACCCTCATTCAGCACTAGTTCAAATTCTAAATTATTGGGGCACTCAGTGGTGGAGTGCTTGCCCAGTACACGTGAAACACTGGGTTGGGTTCTATCCTCAGCAACACATAAAAATAAATAAATAAAATAAAGGTTAATAATGTTCCAAATTACTCATGTATTTATGTGGGATTGAAACCCATTAGCAGGGCCTTCATAAATTTCTCTTTGTCCTTTTTGGAGCCATGAGCCTATGCCCCATGGACCTGTTCTAAGAAGCTACCAACATAATTGGAAGTGAGAATGGGACTTGGTTCTCTGAGGCAGAAAAGTTATTAAATAAGGCCTCATTCTAGCAAAAGTTTCTAAGAAAAGGCTCAGAATGACTCTGATGCTTTTCACAGATCAGTGAAGCTACTGAGCCACTCCATCTCATCCAGAGCCCTGGTGCAAGGGACCAAAGTTTGTGGACTAAAAGTCTGGGACCTGGAACCTTCTGTGTGTCTGTGTTTGAGGATGGGGCCTCAAAGGAAGTTTCTGAGATTAACTGAGGGCAAGAGGGTGGGGCCCGATCCTATAGGATTCGTGTCCTCTCACACAGAGCAGCCAGCTCTCTTCTCATTCACTTGAGCACAGAAGGGGCTATGGGAGGACACAGTGAGAAGGTGGCTGGCTGTCTATCAGCCAAGAAGAGAGACCTCTTCAGAGCCCGTCCTTCTGGTGTCTTGATCTTGAACTTCTAGCCTCCAGAACTGTGTTAAACAAATGGCAGTTATTTAAGCCTCTCAGACTTTGTATGGTAGTCCCTCTCTCATCTGAGGGGGATATATTTCAAGACCCCCAGTGAGTGTCTGAAGCTATAAAGAATACTGACTCCTAGATAGTCTATGTTTTTTCTATGAATTGACTTACAAATTCAGCACATATGAAATTAACATCAATAATTAATAATAAAATAGAATAATTATAGCCATATACTATGATAAAGTTGCTTAAAACTCATGACTTATTTACTTCTGGAATTTTTAATTAAATATTGTCAGACCACAGTCAACTGTGTCACAGTAACTGATGCCCATCTTAGGAGTCTTAAGGGACCTAAGACTGATCTAGATATTTGCCCCAATCCTCCTATGAAGAATTAGTGCATCTACCTAGCTCTGTATTTGTGCTTGCCTTGTATATGATGATTGCTTTCTTTTTCTTTTTCCTTTTTTTTTTTTTTTTTTTTTTTGGTACCAGGGATTGAATCCATCCATGGGCAATTAACCACTGAACCACATCCTCAGCCATTTTTGATATTTTATTTAGAGACAGGATCTCACYGAGTTGCTTGGGGCCTACTAAGTGATGAAGTTGGCTTTGAACTCATGATCCTCCTGCCTCAGCCTCCCCAGCCACTTGTGCTCAACACCTAGCACAAATTCTGCTATGTGTAAGAGACACAACAAGGGTGTAGGTGAGGGGTGGGCCTACAGAGTGTATTGGTCCTGCTTGGTGGGAACACTCTGTTCAGTGAGGCCCCTCCCCCCAAGCTAGTCCAGGAGGCCAAGTGCAGGTGAGCTCACCTCAGGAAGCACAAGGGAATACCAAAGGGCTGAGTCACCGCGGAAGATTCGGAAGGACTCTATCAGAGATGAGGGGACAAGATCCCCAGTGGGGAGGACCTCCGCGCTCAGGGTCACACTCGTGAAAAGTCTGGTTGGAGGGTTGTAGAGGGTGAAATGCACAGACACAGCCCTGGTGCTCTGGTCGATCCATCTGCTGGCCCTGAGTGCATTCAGGGCCTCCTGGGCTTCAGGCCTGCAAAGCAGCACAAGTTCAGAGGGAAGATCAGGAGTCAAGCTTTGAAATCCACAGAAAAATTCAGCCACAGCCCCATGCTGGGACCACCTGGTGTAAGCCTTCACAAGGACAAGCAACACCTGGGTTTCAAATGGCCTTTCTCTATATTAGGGACACTCTCCCTAGAAGCTCACTGTTCCTCTCCCTATGTTCCACTCTCTTCCCTGCAGCAGCCAAAGGGGTGCACAGGCAGGATGGAATCCAGGCCATGGGAGGTTCTCCATGCCTCACTTGTGTGATGTGAGGCAGAGATGCCCAATATTCCACCCCAAGCACTCTAAAATATTCATTTTCCTCTTTTGGCAATGGTCTTCATTTTTAACATTTTTTTGTTAATCCATGTTTAGTAAAAACTAAATCATTTCCTTTTAAAATTTTCTAGTCTTCGAAATGCATATTACTGCAACTGTAAAGACTTCCTGCTGCTGTAAGCAGAGCCCCATCCTGRTATGGGATGAGGGCTGCTCAGGGAGCCAGGAGGTGGGGATGGGCAAAGGGTTCTGGCAGGATGGGGCAGGCCACCTGAACACAGGTCTGGCCACAGTGTGGGCGATGTCTGCTCCTCATCTTCCTGGTGTGACACGAAGAAGTGACAGTCCTACTCCACATCTGGGGACATGTAAACACCCTGATCAGCACAGTCAGCATAGAACAAAACCTCTGTAGCCTTGGGAGGCTCTAGTAACCACTTTTTGGGAGAACATTCTGCTCTCTTCTCCCCCATGTGCTTAGTCTTCAGGCCCAAGGCTGAGTTCTCTCACAGCCTAAAGTACAGCTCTTCATCACATCACAGCAATAACAAGTGCTGTGCAGGCCATGGAAGTGCTGTGCCTGCCTCTGGAGCCTGCAGCACCTGTGCAGATGGGCACATCCAGTGGTGTCTGGGCCAGGAGCTGCCCAGCAGGTTCAGATGAATGCTGGCTTCTGACTTGCACTGACCTTGTTCTGCCCAGGCTGAGCACGAAGTCCTCTTTTCTCAACCCCCAGACCCTGGGACCACCAGGGGTCACATTTTGGTTCTCAAAACCTCCAATTGCAGGGCTGCATGTAGGAGGAGAGTCCTCGAGGAGCGCTGAAAATGGCCTGGGAGGCTGTAGGACAAGCTACCAATTAGAAGAAGCCACTAACCACTGTTCCCAGGTTCATTGTATTCTGGGGTTTCCAAGCCCTGCAGGCATATAATACAACAAGGTGCCCTGCTCTACTCAGGACCATTTTTCAGCCTGTCTCATAGTCTCTGGGATCTAGCATGAGCTAGAGGGATCAAGGCTCTACCTATTGAAAGTCAGTACATGAGCAGTCTGAGGCTAGGACAGATGCAGATCCCATTATGGGATGATACAAGTAAAATGTCATAATTTGGATATTTCTAGCAAAGAATATGTGAATATTTTATTTTTAGACTTTTAGATTTTAAAATTCTTGCTTTCACCTAGAACACTAGATCTCTAAGGAAAAACTGAACCAAACAAACCTACTGCAGAATGCTGAGCCTAGGAGAGGCATTTGGAAACGGTTCATAAGGGGAGAAGGAAGGCCAGGCTCCCACTCTTCCCAGCCCTGGCACCTGACAAGTTCAAGTCACCCTTTAGTGCTCTGAGAAGCTAATAGATCTGCCAGCTTCCAGCACCAGTGTCTCCCAGACTTTTCTAATTAAGTTTATTTTTAGAAGTAAAAGAAGGAGAACATCTTACCTTGTGTATTCTGCAAAGAGAAACTTTTTGCTGCTTAATTACTGAAGTGCCTATTAGGTAGCATTTTCCACCAAGGGCTCCAGGCTAAAGAACAGAAAGAGACTCAGAGGAAGGCGCATGTTGTAAACCTCAAACACCACCTTCAAGTAGTGCTAAGGAATCATGGGGATACTGGGTAACTGCCTAGTCTATCAGGGCCCAAATCCTTCCTTCTAAAAAACACTCCAAGGATGCAAGCAACATTCTAAGAAAGACACAACTCCCTCCCCAGCCTCATTATGGAAAAGGACTAACATCATTCAAAAGATGTCTTTATAATTTGCACTTCATAGGAATGATCTATTTTTATCTTTTTCTCAAGTTTTAACACTGTTGTCATTCTATAAAACTATAAAGAATAAACTAAATGAGAAAATGTTTGAGGACTGTAGGATAAACATACTTTATCTTTAAAAGGGGAGGGAGGAGAAAATAAAATATGAACAAAGAATTGGATTATACAAAAAGCACATTCACTTTTTCTTCTGAACTTGGGACCAGGCTTGCCTTTTTCCGGAAGCTTCCTTGATGCCCTGTCTTAGCCATTTGCTCCTCCCTGCTCTGAGATGCTCCTTGTGTCCCTTGCCATGGTATTTTACATACTGAACTATATTCTTCCATCTCTGCCCCCATGTCTCCCAGAAGTCTCCCTGTGTCTGGTTCAGCTCGGCAAGCACAGAACATGGAGCATCCTGCAGAGCCCAGGAGAGTGACATGGGAGGAGTAAGTGGGCTCCAGACAGGGAAAGTAGTGGGGTGCTCTGCTGGCCAAGGCACCCACAGAGCAGAGTCACAGACCTTACAGCCATGTGGTTATTCAGGACCCAAACAGTGCTGCAGGTCCCCTGACTGTCAAGTGACTTCTGGGGTGATGTGCAGTGAAGAGGAAAAGGAAAGCCCACCTGAGTCCCCTGAGCAGCAGCAGCAGCAGCAGCGGAGGGGCCTCCCAGGTGCAGCCCATCCAGAAGCGTCGTCAGACACCAGTCCCACCAGTCATCAGTGCTTCTCAGGCCCTCCAGGGATTGTCTGGCATTTCTTAATTCAAGAACAAAAACAACAAAAAAAGTTATTTCTATATCCATGAGAACAATCAAAATTGAGAACAAAAACTGGTTTTCCTTTGCCAATTTGTAATTTTAGATTCTCTGCAGGAATTAAGTCAAGGCCATCCATAGCGTGAGGCACAAATCCTGGAATTCCCTTTGCTCCTCCATGGCAGGAAAGAAAGGAGAACAGCAGGCAAAGCACTTGTTCATTCACTCACACATTCACTCAACAAACGTTCCTGTGCAACTACTAAATGCCAGACCCTCTTCTAGGCGCTGGCAATGAAAAATAAAATCCCTGCCCTCCTGTGGGGAAATATAAACAGCAAATAAGATATAAGGTGGTCCCCTGTGGGTTCAACTCAGCAATTTTTTTTTGGCTGTGCAATGGTCGAAAAGCATACCATCCAACCACTCTAATGTCCACTTTCAGCACAGTTTTCAATAAATTCCATGAGATGTTCCACACTTTATTACAAGCTTTGTGTTAGATGCTACACCAACAGTAAGTGAATGTAAGTGTTCTTAGCACGTTCAAGGAAGGCCAGGCTAAGTTAGGAGGAAGATGAACTAGGCGGGTGGTGTTGGGTGCTCTCAGTATATGAGGGCTTTATCAGGACCTAACCCCATCATAAATCAAGGATCATCTGCATAAGCAAAACATACTATGTAAGTGATAAATACCAATGAGGGAAAATCTAAGCAGGAATGACAGACAGAAAGTGGCAGGGTGAGAAAGCTGAAGGATTTAGTTCAAGTGGCTAAGGAATATATGAGGTGACCAGTCAGCAAAGGCCTGAAGGCCACAAGGGAGGAGTCACATGGTCATCTGAGGAAGAGGTTTTCAGGCTGGAGAGGACAGCAGAGGAAGCCATATGCTTGGGAAGTTAGGAGTGGGTGGCCAGTATGGCTGGTGCAGAGGGTGCCAGACACCCAGACCAGGGCACAGTCCTCTCTCAACTGACTGGTGGAAGGACACGGTATTTAACCTGCTCCCATAGTGTTGGATGAGTAGGCACAATTGAAGAGCAGCCTGGCACAAAGTAGGACATCAGCAAATGCTAGTTTCCAATTAACTGCCTTTTTTATTACTTGGGGCTGCAACCTTATACATGCTAGGCAAGCGTAGTACTATTTTAATTAGGTATATATGATAGTAGAATGCATTTTGATTCGTTGTACACAAGTGCAGTACAACTTTTCATTTCTCTGATTGTACACGATGTAGTGTCACAGCACACTTGCAGTCATACATGTACCTAGGTTAATGATGTCCATCTTATTTTAGACACTTCTCAAAAGAAGATATACATTTACTCAACAAATATATGGAAAAATGTTCAACATCTCTAGTAATTAGAGAAACGCAAATTGAAACTACTCCAAGATTTCATCTCATGCYGGTCAGAATGGCAGTTATTAAGAATACAAACCACCATATGGATTGGTGAGGAGTGTTGGTGGTGGGGGAGGCACACTCACACATTGCTGGTGGGACTACAAATTGGTGCAACCAATCTGGAAAGCAGTATGGAGATTCCTTAGAAAATGTGAAGTGGAATTACCATTTGATTCAGTTAGCTTCTTTATTGTATTCATTAGATGTCTGCTTCACTCTCCTCCAAGGGATGGACTTAAGAAAGCACTAAATTAATTTCAACCTGACAGAATGTACCATTCTCAGCTTGCTCAGTCAATGTGAAAGAACCATGTGCACCCAAGGCTATTGTTGGAAGCATGAGTCTAGCTCTGCACTAGAGCCAAAGTATAAGGAAGGGAACAAATGTTCCTCAGAGCAGAGTCCTCCCACCTGGCTTCCCATGTAGGGACATGAATAAGGTCATGGCAATATCCATGGCAAACAGAAATGTAGCAGTTTCATCCAGATCTTTCTCCATGAAAAGAGGAGATGAGCAGACTTATTGGACACAGTGATTTTGTTGAAAATGATAAGAAGATAGAGAAGGGTATGACCTGAAGTCATTCAAGTATACACAAGTTTAATTGTCCTGCCTATTCCAGCAACCAAGTCTAGATTCCTCCAAAGTACAAGCTCAAGATATGTTCTTCAAATGGTAGTYGTGGACTTGAGCAAAGTTATGCTACAGAGATGGGGGTGCCTGACAACTCCATGTTCAGGGATATCACCTTGGTAGCATGAAATGGACAATGGTGGGAGCATTTACACCACAGAAATTGGCAGGCAGATGCTATAAGCCAGTGCCCTTGTTTTCCAGAGAGAACAGGACAGTTAAATGTTGGCCAGCACAGCACAGAGAACACATTCTCAGGAAAGTGTTGGAGCAGATATTTCATTGGTGATTGAGGGCAGCTTTTAGAGATAATTGAGAAAAAGTGTTTTAAAATTTTAGAGGTATGACAAAATTGGACAATATAAAAGGAAAAGAAACCAAGAAAAAGAGAAAAGTTATTAACATAGAAGTTAAGAGAGAGATGCAAAGAGTCTCAATGAACAATTTATATACACTATTAATATGTTCAAAATTTTCCATAACATGTGGGAATAAAACTCCAGCTAGCTAATTTGACTGGTTTTATTTCATTTTTCCTACAGATGGAGGACCTCCTCTCCATTCACATATTTGGGCTTCATTAGTTTTGCCTAACCTATGCAGGCTGCCTGTTGGGTGCTGATTCTCTACTTTCCCCTTCTCTGAAACTTTGGTCAGATTATATGTCAAGCACAGAGCAAGTTGGAGACCTACAAAAACTTCAAGAGGATGGGAAGAAGAAACAGAGAGGTACCAGAGATGGGAACATAAAACAAGAAGATACAGCTCTGCAAATATTCACAGCCCCTGGGGAAGGAAAACATGAAAGATGGAGAGGCAATGACAGAAAAGGCAGGAGGAGGGAAAGAGGACGATCCTTAATTTTCAACAGAGAAGTGTTAATCATCTGTTCTTAGAAGAAAGATTATTTGACAGATAAACTGACTATACACCTATCATCCAATATGCTCTTGTTTTATTATCAAATAAAGTAGTATAAATTTTATGGCTACATTGATTTTTGCATAACTCCCTCCCTCCCAGGGATTGGAATTGAACCCAGGGCTTCTCTCATGCCAYGCAAGTGCTCTATCACTGAATACATCCCCAGACCAAGTTTGCATGACTTTTGAAGGTAYGTTCTCACTGTCTGACTCTGGCCCCTGTTGAGATAACATGAAAGAAGCTACGTCAAGAAAGACCCGAGCAAAACTCAAGCTGAGACATCCCACACCAGAATGAATTCATCTCACATGCACTCCTGGCACACTGGAGTGCAGGTAGTGAGCCAAATGAGCCAAGAATACTCTGGCTCTGTCTGTACTAATTACAGCAATTATATAAAACAGGCCTACAAAACTAGCTAAACAATGTGAGAGATAAAATCAGCCTCATTTTCCATGCCTGGCACTTGGACAGAGTGCTCTTTTCATTTACTGGTACTTTATTTTTGTTTTATTTTACTTGGAATTTTATGAAGACCTTATTGAGTTCAGAAAACACTTCAAATGCCCCTTAAATATGAAGACACAGAAACCCAGGAGCCCAACTCCTTCACTTTACAGATGAAGATTCTATAGCCTAGAAAGGGCTGGCAGTCACCTGGTAGCCACAAGAAAGCCAGAAGCCTAGTCCCCGAGTTCCATGTAATTCGTTTCCCTCCTGGCCTTTAGCTCCTCTTTCTGGAATGCTACAAACAACAAGCCTTCAGGAGTTGTTGATGTTTCAGGATCAGGGAGTGATGGATGGGGGTGCAGGTGAGGTGTTGGGATAGTGGGGGGAGGTAGGGGTGGTGAGGTGAGGCAGAGAGGGTCCAGTTTTAAACATTCCGATATGAACCAGGACATAAGAATGTATCCCTGCCTTGTGGTTAGACCATCCAGAGGTAGTGAGATTTTGCATCCTTGTGAAATCATAAGGTCTCTAAGAAACCACAGGGGTAGTATCTGAGCGGTTCATCTAAGCACATTGGTCTCAAGTGCGTGCCAGATCTCACAAATATTATCTCAGCTGTGATATTTCTGACTTGAATACCAAGTGGCAACAATTCATATGAGAAACATGTCTGATAATGCTGACTTATGAAATGTAAGATTAAAAAAATAAACTAGCCAAAGTCAGCAGTTTTTCGGGTTTGTATTTCCATTTCCAGAGAACGCAGCAAATCGTCATTTTGTTTTGCTCACATCGCCACCTACTGGCATATTTTGTGCACCTGCCCAGGTGAGAGACCTAAAAAGTCAGAAAGCAACAAAAATAACTGCTGCTTTTGCAAGTGAGGAGGCAGAAAATATCACTGAGCTTTACAGTAAAATGTTGGATAATTGAGCTCTGGAGAATCCAGATTCAATGAACTGGAACTTTCAGGTCTTACCCCATTAGTGAGTCATAAAACTAACAAGGGGCTTGACATTTACTAGTCATTATCTGACTGGGTATCAATAAACCTCCCTTTTGCACAAGATAAAAATAAATGTTCTTAAATAATAAATAAAATTATATGAATTTTCCATTCATTCCTGCAAAAAATATTTCTATCAAATTTAATTACTTAGTCAAAGGCAACACGCTCATAGAAATGCTATAAAAAATCTGTTTAAAAATATTCTTTGGAGAAAGAGAATGTAAACCCCAGAACACAGAGAAATATTTTACTTCCTATTACTGAAGCCATTGAGAATACCAACTCATTCTGTGATCTTCAGATTTCAAAGTCACACTTCCTTGAAAAAACTATCAGACAGAATGTTTTTAACAGGTGAAATAAAGTCCAATTATGGATTTAATAACAACTTTCAATGAAAAAGGAATGGTAGATTTAAATGTATATGTTGGTTACAATGTGTGTCCCAATTTCAAAGATGTTAAGTCATGGAAAAGAAAAATAGCTTGACAAATGACTCTGCCTTGGGGTATCAAGGTAATTTTTCTACTTTGTACTTTTAAGTTCTTTCATTTTTACCTTGCATGAAACTCTTTGTTTATTTATTTTATTTTCAGTACTGGGAACTGAACTCAGGGAAGCTTTACTACTGAACCATATCCCCAACTCTTTTTCTTTTTTATTTTGAGTCAGGGTCTCACTAAGTTGTGGAGGCTGGCCTCCAACTTGTGATCCTTCTGCCTCAGCCTTCCAAGTAGCTGGAATTACAAGAAATTCTACTGTTTTAATTTATTTTTATATTTATTTATTTATTTTGGTACTGGGGATTGAAACTCACTTAACCACATCCCCAGTCCTTTTTATTTTATTTTTTAATTTTGAGACAGGGTCTTGCTTAGTTGCTTAGGGGCTCACTAAGTTGCCAAGACTGGCCTGAAACTTGTGATTCTCCTGCCTTAGCCTCCCTATTTGTTGTGATTACAGGAGTGTGCCACTGTACCCAGCAAAATTCTACTATTTTCATTTTTATATTAGAGCTATATATTTATACATAGAAGTTGGATTCATCCCAACAAACTCAAACATGTATGAAAATCAATTTCAGTTCATGATCYCCCCCATTTTTCCTTCCTGTTCTCTCTCCTCTCTCCCATTCTCCTTCCTTTATTCGACTTCCTTTTGTTCATCTATTAATTTATATTTGATTAGTTCTTTATATTATCTTATCCTTACCTCTTCCTTTTCTTTATTTTAATCTAGCTTCTGTATATGAGAGAACACACTAGACCTTTGAGTTTCTCAGTTTGGTTTATTTCACATAGCATGATAGTCTCCATTTCTATCCATTTACCAGCGAATACCATAGTTTCATTCTTCTTATGGCTGAGTAGAACTCCACTGTGTGTGTGTGTGTGTGTGTGTGTGTGTGTGTGTGTTTGTATAACAATTTCTTAATCCATTCCTCTATTGATGGGCAACTGGGTTGATGCCATAATTTAGCTATTATAGAATATTTATCTGTAAATGTGGAGTTGGTTCCATTGCTATAGTATGCCGATTTTAGATCTTTTGGGAAAATATCAAGAAGTGGGATAGTTAGGTCATATGGTGGTCCCATTTCTAGTTTTTTGAGGAATCTCTATACTGCTCTCCAGGAAACTCTACCATTTTTAAAAGCAGGAAGAAGTAAATGAACACTTGAGAAATGGTAGAATACTTGAGGAAGTATTATAGATAGTTTGAAATTGAGTGTCATATATTATGAATTGCAACCATAGCTTGTGGTTGAAGAACTCTAATGTCTTGCATAAATAAGAAATTGTTAGACCCTGTTTTGACCTAGACCTCAAAGTGCCTTGGAATATCCTTGTTTCACTATTTACCAAAAATGAGATGCTGAGAGCATGCTCAAAGTCAGCAAATGGAGGCCCCGTATTAACACTGGGGAAATAATGTCCAGTGAGTCAATTTGACAGTCTTTCTCAAATTTTGTGTGTGGGATGTGGTGAAAACCTTTCACTGATCCTCAGTCATACACAGGTAAAATGGACCCAAGAAGTAGACTAGACTTCTCTAGGGCTCCCCCTTCAGTACTAGAAGACCAAGATGTGACAAGTGATATGGCTTGCTCACATAACAAAGTGAAGGAAGTGCTCCCTCTTGGTGTGCACTGGTCATGAACTAGTACAACAATTCCCAGATCTAGAGGAATTCCTCAAATCTCTCACCTTATAAATTCCTTCCGGATAGCTTGATTGAGAGAATATTCATCTGGGCAGAATTTCCCATATATTATAAACAAAAGCAGAAGCAGCATGAGAATGTACATGGAAATGTCTCTGTAAGAAGAGATTTTTCAAGTCAGCATCCTCATAACCCTCTGTGCATATACCCAGGTTTTTCCCTCTGCAAAACACTTTTAATGGAATCCTGAGAGGAAATTTTTGTATAAAGTATGAGATATGTTGAGATTCACATTTATTTTTCTTGCACATCAAAATCCAACTTTCTAAGCACCATTTTTGAAAAGAATATATTTTTCTCCATTGAATGGTCTTTGTTTATAAAAAAATCACTTGAGCATATTTGTGTGGTTCTATGTGTCTCTTTTATTGAGCTGTGTGTTGATTCTGCTGCAAAACACCAACAGTCTTGGTTTCTGCAGCCTTATAGTATATCTTAAAATTGCATAGTGTCAATCCTTCAATCTGTTCCTTTTTCACATTTTTTGACTATTCTAATTCTTTGTTTTCCATATACATGTCAGAATCAGTTTGTCAGTATCCATTTTAAAAGACTTGTGGGATTTTAGTTTATAATTACATTGAATCTACAGATCAAACTGGAAAGACTTCACACAATATTAAGTCAGTCTCCCAATTGATGCACACAGTATTTCTCTCTATTTAGGAATTTTTTTCATTACAGTTTCATGAGTTTCAGCATACAGATCTTGAATGCTTTCTTAGATGTATGTCTAAATACTTCATTTCTTTGGGGCTATGGTAAACGGTATTGCCTCTTAAATTCTGATTATTTTGTGCTTGTGTAATAGAAACATGATTTATGTTTTTACATTGACCTGTATCCTACCAGCTTGCTAAATTCACTTATCAGTTCTAGCAGTCATTTTTGTAGATTATTTGGGAATTTCTGTAAGACTATTCCTGTCATATGTCAAGAGCTTTGTAATGTTTTGAACAACCAATAAAAATAAATAAATAAATAAATAAATAAATAAATAAATTTTAACATTAAAAAAAGACTATTCCTGTCATCTGCTAGTAGATGGTTTTATTTTTCATTCAAATCTATATTGTTTTCATGGTTTTTTCTTTCCTGTTACAATTGCTAGGATTTCTATTGTAACTGCCAATGGGAGAGAGAACAGACATTTCTGCTTTGTTCCTGATCTAAAAGTGTCTCACCATCAAGTATGATGTTAGACTAAGCGTTTTTTTATAGATACCCTTTGTATTAGCTTAGAATATTTCTTTTCTATTTCTAGTTTGCTGAGTTTTGGGGTTTCCTTCTTTCATGAATTAATGTTCGATTTTGTCTCATGCATTCTGGACATCTACTGGGAGAATCATATGGTTTTCCTTATTTATGATGTTAATATGATGTAATACACTAACCACTTTTCTGTTATATCTCTTAATATTATGTACCTACTGGAACTCTTTTTGGTTGCTTTGTAGCTTACTTGTTCAACAAATTGGTTCTGTGTGCTATAGATTTGTATGTCTTTGCTTCCTTATAGTGTTATTTAGTGTGTTCTCACTGTAAACTATAAATTGCAAAAGAAAAAACAACCTTCATTAAATTAAGATTGAATTCTTCAGGATAGACTGGCTTAGGGGTGATGGTCAGAAAACGCACAATGTCTGATTATTTTTAGGTCTCTCTCCTTCTTTCTTCTATATTGCCCTTTGTTGATGAGTAGTGGCTAGATTAGTTAATTAATTAAAAACTGCAAAAAAYGTTCAAGTTCTAATTCCATCATTAGCCTTCACCTAGCAGCTGGAATACCTTTGTGAAAAAAAAGTTCCCTTCTCCTTTCCTGTATTTTCCCAGAGGTGCAGTTTCTTGGGAAAGGCAACAGTATTTCCTAGTTTTTAAAAAGGGGATTTCTGAGTGTTTTCTAGTGTTAATTGCAATGATTACAGTTTTTGGCAACATCCTAAACTCATSGCTTTAAATATATTTCATAACCTTTAATTCATTATAGTTGTAATTTTTAATCTAGTGTCAAATTATCCTATCTTTGACCAACATGAACTCCCTTAAAATTGGCTTCTGAGTCCTTTGGTGATGGTTCTAGTTGTTATTAATCTCTTGATTAAACAATGTTTCAGGAGCAGCTTGTGTATTTTCTGTCACAGACTTTAAATCAGAAATCCCAATAATTCCTGGCTTTTATTATTATTATTATTATTATTATTATTATTATTATTATTATTATTTTGGTGGAAAATGGTATCTGTAGACTGGAATCTAGGTGCTGGGGCTTATTGCTCTTGGATTGTTTCTAGTTCTTTTCTTAGTGAATGGAGCTAGGAAAATATTATTCTTTTGTTTTAACATTCCACATTAGTTCATATCTACACTTTTAATTCAAAACCAGGACTAGAAGCTTCCAATATTTTTGAGGTGGAATCTAACCAATAAGGGCAAAATTTTAATCTTAACACAAATCTTTTTAAAATTTTATTATTTTCTCTCCATAACACTCATTTTCTAAAGTTATGTAATTTCCTTTCCTATGTTTTAAGATAAGCAGACTCATGGGCATATATATTCATATTCTTTCTGTTAAGCAGTGGGGGAAACACACCAAGCAAGTTCTTTATCTGGAGCTTCTCCCATAAGATCCTGAAGGTCTTTCCCTAAAAGCCATCCTCACCACCCCCCAACCCTGCCTGCCACTACTGAAAATGCAAGGGCTTTTGCATGCTAGATAAGCATTCTACTGCTGAGCTATAGCCTAAGTCTTTATTTTTTTATTTTGAGAAAGAGTCTCGCTAAGTTGCTGAGGCTGGCCATCAAYTTGGGATTCTTCTGCCTCCCCCTCCTAAGCAGCTGAGGTTATAGGCATGCTCCACTGTGCTGGGCTCCTCATGCTTTTGTTACATCTAAACACAACTCCATGCTGTCCCTGTCCTCCTGGGAAGATGTGGTTATCCCTAAGCTATTTCTATTACACAAGGTGTTGCACTAATTGTCTCATGTACTGGTTTTCTCATATTTTTGCTAATGTGTCTTTAAGGGTGATTCCTACTAGTGGGGAGTCTGGGCAAAAGGTAAGCACATCTGTGCTTGTGCTAGAGAGTTCCAAATTCCCCCATGGGGGCTGGCTGTACCTTTTACATTCCTATCAGTGTGAGAGTACTTTATCATAGCTCACCAAAAGAGCCTGTGGATGGATATATATATATATATATATATATATATATATATATATATTTTTTTTTTTTCCCCCAGTTTTAATTTGCAATTCTCTAACTGTAGGTAGAAGTGCCATAGTGTTTCTTTTTTTCTAAAAAATGTTTGAAAGCACATTTTTGCTCTAAAAAGTTGCTGGTCTTTTTCTTTTCTGTGCCCCACCCCCCACTCCTGAGTCCATGCATGGATGGAGGAAATTGAGGACCAGGGAGTAAGATGTTAACCAACTTATCATGGGTAGCTTGCAGGACCAAGTTTTCTAACTCTAATTTCCCTGCATCCCAGTGCTGGGCACAGAATGATATATGGAAAAGGATCTTCCCACCTGTACTCCCCAATACCTGATGAGAATAATCTTTTAAGAATGAAAGGGGAGTTGGACCAGAGTGCACCCATCCTAGGCACATCTGCACCCACCTTAGGGCTGCCTCCGTATGACTCTTTTTCCTAATCTTCTCCCTGATGACCCTGAGCTGAGTCTTGGATGGTGGACGCACCCAGCGCAGGTTGCGTTCTCGTTGTCGGGCAGCCAAGACCTGTCAGGGATGAAAATGCTAAGACCCTCAGGCTGGCAGTGAAAGGAGAGAGGCATTTACCATCAGCCAAAAGCAACGTCATCACTGAGCTTTGCCTGGTATTTGGGAACAAAGAGCTACTTTATGTAGAGAATGTATACCAGGTTGTTGGGGAGAGGTTTGGAGACAGGGTAGCTCCATTTAAAAGAAACTCTGCTTATATCCCAGCCAAACTTTTTTTGGCAGGAGCTGCAGCTGGGCCACTATAAAGAATAGCTTTACACAACAGGCATGTCTGCTACTGTCAAATTATGGGAGCAATTATCTTTGGCATTTGCATGGTATTTTCTTTTAGAAATCTTCAAAGTCTGGAAAAACCATTTTAAAGTACAGTCTTAGCAAGAAATGACCTTTGATTTTCTTTTTTAAAATATTACTGCTTTCATATTATGTCTGTTTATGTTCAAGACACACATAACAGTGGATGGAGTATTTCAATGGGTTATTAAAATAACCCATTGAAAATATTCATTCATTTTTTCTCATTCACGCATTTGTTCATTCAATACATGTTCAATGAGGAGACCCTAGGTCAGATATGAGAGACATTGATCTGGAAACTCAGAAGCTCTCCTTCCTCTGTTGTACTTTTAAGAAATACATGGCAGTACAAATGGTATAACAGTGAACCTGGGGATTGAAGCTTGGTGGTTGGGATATTCCTTTCAGCTGATGGATGTGTTATCATGAGAAGGGTGAGCACTGAAGCCGAATGTGGGGAAGGTTGGTGGGTGGAGCTCTGTTGTGGTTTGGATGTGAAGTTTCCCCCAAAAGGTCCTCTGTTAATGCAGGAATGTTCAGAGGTAAAATTGTGAGATTATGAGAGCTGTGCACTGGGTGGTAACTGTGGGCAGGTGGAGTGCTGCTAGATGTGGTGGGTCACTGGGGCCCTACCCTGGAAGGGTGTATCTACCCTGTGGCCCTTTTTCTGCTTTTCTCCTCTACTTCCTGACTGCCATGAATGGAGCTATGCTCCACCATCATCCTTTCTGCYGTGGTGTGCTACGTCATCTTGGGCCCAGTGCAATGGACTCAGCCACCCTTGGACTGAGACCTCTGAAGCCAAGAGCATCAAATAAACTTTCCCTCCTCTAAGTTGTTCTTGTTGGGTATTTTGGTCATAGTGACACAAAATTAACTGAAACAGGCATCTTGACTTCAAGGTGCTAATGGGATGGGCACAGGTCTAGTGATGCCAACCTGACCCTTAGGATCACGGCTGAATCTGCCAGAGGAATCTACCCCTGAGGAAAAATCTTTAGAAAGAGAAAGAACAGAGATAGAGTAGGGAGGTGGAGTATCTGCACCTGGGGAAAAGGTAAGAAAGCCTTGAAGCAGAAAGGAAAGTTGAGATCCAACAGGTGTGAGGAAAAACCACAGCAATACTGCTCCTCAGATGAGGTGCTGGGGTGTACCGTACTGCTGTGTGGCCAAGGCCTTTATTATTTCACCTCTTTGAGCCCCAAAATCCTTATCTTTATAGTGGGATGCAATAATCCTGCCTACTTCACAAAATCTTATAAGCAACAAATTGATATAGTGAATGTAAATGTAGCATGAATGTTTTAGTCAGCTTTTTCACTGCTGTGAATAGAAGACATGACAAAAAAATTTTAGAGGAGGAAAAGTCTATTAGGGGGCTCATAGTTTCAGAGTCTCAATCCTTGGACAGCTGACTCCATTCCTTGGGGCTTGAAGTGAGGCAGAACATCAAGCTAGAAGAGTGTGGCAGAAGGAAGTGGCTCACACTATGATCAGGAAGCAGAGAGACTCCACTTGCCAGATACAAAATATATACCCCAAAGCCACACCCCTAATGTCCCACCTCCTTCAGCCACACCCACCTGCCTTCAATTCCCAYTCAGGTAATCCCATCAGGGGATTAATTCACTGATTGGGTTAAGGCTCTCCTAACACCTCACATCCAAACTGTAACAACACAATGACCACGGACTATATAATTGATGCTCAGTATATATTCTCATCATCCAGGTGCCAGGGAGGAAGGCTGTGGATCAGTCACCTGATGAGGTTGCTTAGCCTGTCGGAGCTCTCTGGGCTTTCTGAGAGGAGGGGAGTGGGGCTGAGCAGAGGGAGAGATGGTATCTGACTGTGAATGAACTGGGGCTGCAGCCTTGGTCATAAGGACCAGTGATTACTTCTCAGAATAGAACAGCACATTTTATTTTATGTATATTCATGTCAACAACAAGCCTGTGAGTTTCTTTGTGGTGGCTGAAAGACCTTGCTCTTTTTCATAGCATCCACACCTAAGACAATACCATATGTACAAACAAGCAAAACTGAATATAGGAAGGAAAGGAGAAAGAAAGGAAATTAAGGATGGAGGGAAGAAGGGAAGTACATGACAAGAACACAGACAGCATGGTTCTCCAAAGCCCAGTTCATGCTGCACTGATAATCCCCTTACTTTTTCAACTTCCCTTGCACAGTCAGAAATGCAGTAGCTGTGAGAAAGGGGAACATGGGTTCTGGAACGTTCTTCCAATTCCGAGTCCAGATTCCTGGTTGCTTCATATAAAGACTCAGCAAAAAATTGGTTGTCATCTTTTTTTTTCCAAGCAAAGCCCAATGCCATGATGCATATCTGGAGGGAGAGATGTGATAGCAGGGGCTATCATCAGTACTGGGCTGTGTTCCCTCCTCAGAACTGTCCTCCTGGTACCTAATTGCCAATAGGCCTCCATTTCTTGGTTCTGAACCACTCACCAGAGGCTTGACCCCTTACCAGGCCTGGCMTGGCCCGAGAGACTTAAGTTCTCCAGGCTCAGGTTCCTCAACTGAAAAATGGGTGGTCACCTATGGAGCTTAGCACAAGGCCTGGCTCCCTCTTTTTTTTTTTTTTTTTTCTCACCACATCTCAAATCAAACTATAAAGAAAAGAAATGCATTGCCAAAATGCAGCCAACATGCATTGCCAAAATACATCCCCCTCTCCAGTGTCCTGCTGAACAGAGGAACCTCTGCCTCAGAAGGTGTGTCTTACCATGAGTGGCTGGGTGACAAACACGCAGCAGACCACGGAAAGGGACAACAGGTGCAGCCACCTCATACACTGAGCCGTAACAAACCTGTCCAGGAGAGAATGCAGTCAGTACCCTTGTGGAAGCAAGCCACCATGGTCACTACCATCTGAGCATGGGGACACAGGAGTAGGTCAGCACCTTTGCAGGTTGAGACCTTGAGCAGGAAGTGGGGCTGCAGCCAGGTTGGGGCTACTGGACGTGGGCACTGTATCTTTCTGCCCATTAGAGGAGAGTCATTCCTTGCTAAGAGAATATCTGCCTTTCTAAAGCTACTCAGTGGTAAGAGAAAAGAAATTCAATACACAGCAACAGAGCAGAGGGAGGAAAGAGGAGGAAAAGGCAGGTGTGACCTGGTGACAGCTGCAACAAGTGGATGCAGTGGGAGCAGGAGAGCACTTGGGACTTCACCTGCCTCCTTGGACCCCAAGAATTAAGGGCCGAGGATCCATACTTTCCAGATGGGTAAACTGAGGCACAGAGGGCTCTAGTGCCTCATCCATCCTCACAGTGATTCAGTGTGTGCAGCTGGGTGAGGGGAGATCATAAGGAAGAAAAGGCCTTGGCTTTGTGACCTACTTCCCATGGTTTAGGAACATGTGGGCCCACAGGAGCCATGAGATGACTCTGGGGCCTCTAGTGGTGACCAAAGACACACAGCAGCCAGACCAAGAGGCACTGAGTGCCGGGGGCAGTCCTGAATGAGTGGTGCATGGTGGTAACCGTTGCACACGCATAGGCTTATTTGTTGTTGTACTGGGGATTAAACCCAGGCGAGCTCTACCGATGAATTATATCCTCTGTCCTTTTAATTTTTTTGTTGTTGTTGTTTTGAGACAAGGCCTTTCTAAATTGCTGAGGCTGGCCTTTAACTTACAATCTTCCTGCCTCAGCCTCCTCTGTGCTTGGGCTTTTTCAAACAGGAGATGATGAGCACTTTGTCTGAGCTCCCTCTCAGGAGCTTGATGACTGGCCCTTCATTCCTTAATGAGGACCCTAGGGCTTCTTATTTAACACCCAGAATGCCATCCAGGCTGGGTGGCTGTTACAGAGCTTGCCCAACCAAGTGATCCTCTGGGGTTTGCATATGATTCTGCTCACTCCCATGGGGTGGAGTGGGGTGAGGGAGAAAATATCAATGGTGACATCTGATATCTGCATTTTATGTGTTCCTAGAAAAGAGGGGCCTCCTTTACAAATGCTAGACTTTCATCAAGTGACCTGAGTATATTTGAAAGCCTCAAAAGCTCACCTGTAGCCTATGAGTCCTGTCCCCAGTCCACAGGCTAGGGAAGCTGATCCACAAATGGCCCACGCTGCAGAGTTTGACCAAGGCATGCCAGCTCTTGACCACTGGGGCATGAGCCCTTCAAAACCACCTTTTGGAGCTACAGAAGAGTAAGACAGAGACAAGGTGGTTAACAGACCCAATATCCTCACCCACAGTGTGATGGTGAGCTTAGTGTCACCTTGACTGGGTTGTAGGGTGTTTAGAAATTGGGCCAAAGATCATTGTGGGTGTGTCTATGAGGGAGTTTCCAGATGACATTAGCATTTGTGTTGTGGACTGAATAAAGCAGAGGCCTTGTGAGGGTAGATGGGCCTTCACCCAATCAGTGGAAGGCCTGAATAGAACAAATGGGTTAAGAAGGAACTCATCTTTCCTGATGGACTTTGAGCTAGAACATTGATCTTTGCTTGAAGGTCCAGGATAGCACCTCAGGGGYTTTACTAAAATGCCTCTTAAAATGACGGAGAGGTCCCCAACATTAAAGGCAGAGGGACTAGTTTCCATCTCAGATCCCAAATGACTAAGTAGGCTGACTTAGATCTACAGGATCCGCTCTGATTGGATTAAGACTCACACCATTTGGACACAGAGCTGTGACTTGTCCCCACAGCCTTCATCATTTCCTCTTAGGTATGCAATTCCTCCAGAGCCATGCACATAACCAGAGGTCACCCCACACAATCCCTCTCCTTGGAAGAGAGTTGTAGAGCTCCTTTTCTCAAGAGATGGTTCTTAGAGATAAATCCCAATGGGGGAACATCTAGGGGCAGGAGGCAGTGTCAATCAAGGGCAACTAAACCCAGCCCATTTCAATAGACCAGGAAGCTGGCATTGGGCACACCAAAGGACACTTGCTGAACATGCAATAGGAATGCAGATGTATGACCAGGATGGGATGGCAGTGTCTTCCTAAGCCACACCTTCCCCACCGCCTCCTTGGCGTCTGGTCCACCAGTGCGAACTTTCCACTTCTGAGCTTTCACTTCCCAGAGTGCATGTGTCCAGCTTGCCATGGAGGGTAGCCATACTTTTAGCAATACTTGTGCCTGTACTATAGGCTCACCTACCTGAGGTCTCATTCAGGACCTACAGAAAAGACCTTTTTCTGCTCCTATGGTGAGTATGCAGAGCAGGGTCCACCTGCTACCCAAAACCAATGCTCTAGGCCCTGTGTTGAGTAGGCCCTCATGGTTGCACACATGCAACTAGACCAGGCCCAGCAGCTAGCTCCCGCTTGGATGAGACTGACAGGGGACAGCTTGGTCTCCTCTTGAGACCCAAGCGCAGGATGACCTGCCCTCCCTGGGTGCAGCCCTTGTTTTTCAGGTCATTTTCTGCTTTTCCAGCTCATTGCTGAGCCCGCAGCATAACTGAAGGAGGGGCTGCTATTCACTCTAATTTACATTTTGTAAAAGCAAAGCTTCACTACAGAGAAAAAAAGAAAAGAAATATGGGCAGGGCACATCTAAGGAAAATCTAATGAAGGGAGATTTGGAGAACAGAAGAAAGGGATCAGGAGGGAGGAGGAGGGAAGGGAAAGGGGAAAGACTAAGGAATAATATTGGTAGATTAACTGTTATATTGTGTGCRTGTATGAATATGTACAACAAATCCTACCATTATGTACAACTATAATGCACCAGCAAAAAAAATGTGGAAAAAATTTAAAACACAAAGCTTCAAATTTCAGAATATCTAAAGAAGTGTGAAGACACTATTACTGGCTTTTAAAAAGATCTGATGTAACTTATACTGAATATAAATAAGAAATCAATCAGGATTTGGGACAAAGTTAGAAGCCACCATTTCAAATGGGTCCAAGCCTGTTTTTAGATAAGACTCAAGTGTCTAGTGACATGTGTCTCACTCCAACTCTGTTCATCCTGCCTCTCCCATGGCTAAGGCTGATGTTGGGCCTGCAGAAAAGAGGGCTGCCTGTTGCAACCACATGGCAATGTCACCTTGTAAGCCAGGAGGGGAGTGGAGGCTCTTTTCCCTTTGCAAAGTCCCCTGGTGGTCAGGCCTGCAGGCCTCCAAGTCCATGGATGGGCAGGCTTTGCCATTGCCTTCTGCCTTTCTTCTGCTCCCATCACTCCCAGAAGGAATGGCTGATACAGAATGCTGGAATGACAAGGACAGGCCAAGGTCAATGTTCCCACAGATAGTAAACTCCTCAACAATGGTGCCATCTGAGCCTTCTCACAGGACAGGCATGGCACATGGTCAAGTGCAGTCCTTGAATTCTGAGGGGGAACCACAGTCAGCCTTGGGAGCTGGCTCCTTAGGACCTGTGGGGTGACCATGAAGCAATGCCTGTGGCTTGGTAGCAGCTCCATTTTTCAGGTAATTGCACCCTGATTCCTAGGAGGCACTACCTGCCCAAGGAGGGTTTCAGTCAAGAGCAATGGTTGATAAAAGGCTCCAAGGTGGGAGAGACAGAATCCCAGCACAGCATTTAGGGATAGGGCATACAATGCTCCAAGCAAAGGCCCTGGAGCTGCCAGGCAGGGGTGAGAGACTAAGAAGCACAGGAATCCCACAAAGGATCAGCCTTAAGCTAAGGGCATAGTCACCTAGATCCCACAAGCAAAATCCCAATGGGTTACTGTGGTCACACCATTAGAAACTGCCCTTCACTTGCCTTTAGTCAGAGGCCTATTTGAGACCTGGAGCTCACATCACTGCAACAGCTCCTCCAAGCCCCTGCTCCTCGTGGTAGTCTGAAAGGAGCAGGCCAAGCAGACATCCAGGCCTTTCTTCTTCACAGGGGCCTTGGCAGTTTTCACTGAACATATACATGAGGCTTTCTAGGTTCTGCAGGGCTGCTCCTCTCCCATTTTTCTGGCCTCTGCAGAAACTCCTTCTTCTTGATACTACCTGGATGCCCATCCCCCCTCACCGGGGCTTGAGAATCAGCCCTACTTTTCCATATAATGGATCCCAGCCAGCACGATGTGTGACCTTCCCATGGTCATACCACATGCAGCCAAAGAAGAATGCCAGAGAAATCCCATTATTAGCCTGCTATGCTAGAGAATTAGTTAATGCATGTAGTTGTCCACATACCTTACATGGCTCCTGGGTGTCTTGGGTACCTCTACAGGAAGTAGGATCTGATTGAAAAAAAGRCAAATGTATGATGTCAACCCAGGGACATCTTAAAGCTATCTGGTACACTACCTACCTCCAGTTCTCCTTCCTGACCTATCATAATTAGCCTTTCTGAGATATGGGACAAAGCTAAGATGAGGACTTTTTAATGTTGCCATCCCAGTGTGGAATTGATACCTCCTCAGTCACCCAGGGCTGCCCTCAGGAAATACAGCAGTATTAAAAAAACGTTTTAAATAGTAAAAAGAGCCTTAAAAGAAAATAGTGATAAATGGTACTATATAAAAAWTTTAAAATAATAAAACTGAAACAACAATAGCAACTGGGAAAAAGTATTCAGTCTCCATTGGACAAAGACCCATTTACATAACTGAGTCGCAATCACTTAAATCTTGTTTAGAAAAAGAAAGGATTCTATGAAGTCAATGAAGAGGGGCAAATGAAAGGGACAACCCACAGAAAATAAGATGGCTTTTAAATATATATATGAAACATAATGCAAACTGGAAGTAGGGGATTCCATTCCTACCTAGAAGATTGGCCCAGGGGATCAGCTTGAGGGGAGAGTTTGAGTTTCTAGTGCATGCTTACCCAGAGGGGCCTCTGTCTGCACTCCTCTTAGCGGTCTGCATGCCTCAGTCCTGGGATACTCCATCGCTTCCTGCAGAAGTAGAGGCTGGTTAGAGAGGATATCCCCCAGCAATGGAGGTGCCACTCAGGAGCATAGGGCCATGCAGATAGTCTACAGGTACCTTGCTGAGCCTGAAGAGCAGTGCCAAGAGCTGTGACCCTGGGGAGGCCAGGAGGGTGCACAGGAAACCCAGACTAAAGGATCGGAGAGTGATGTCTGTGGGGCCGACATCCAGAGGGAGCTGCGACAGTCAACAGTAGAAGTTATAACTCCTCAAGTGATTCCAACTTAAAACTCAGGGGCATTTGTAGTTCCGAAGACTTAACCTTTGCTCTCTCAATCCAGGTTAAAAAATCACAAAAAAAGTCATTTGTTTTTTTCCTGTAGAAGTCCCTGTGGACACTCATTTTTCATGAAGGGGATTCTCAATGGACTTAATCCTTGCTATAATCTGACAAGAAGGCATCAATGTCTTCAATGTGCCACCCAACAGAGAAAAATGGTCAAGGCCTCAGATTAGACAACTAGTTGATCTCACAGGAGTGACCCAACATAGGTTTTCTGACTACAGGTCCTGAGTACATCCCAGGTAGATATGGTGGTTCCCTTCTTGCCAATTAGTGATAGATTTTTTGAAATATTTTTTAAAAACTAATTATTTGCACATGGCACTCCTTTAAAAAATTATAAATCTATAACTCTTACCATACCTCTCTGATATCTGGTGCCATGTAAGAAGGCCACCATCCCCAGCTGCATGGTTGGGACCATATGGATATAGTGGGTTGGGCTTATAAGTGGCCCTGAGTTGTAAGAAACTAATCCCACTGTTTTGCCATACCCTCCAAAATCATTCTGTTTCCCCTCACTCAGGAGAGACAGGTTCTCCATTTTAACTGCTTGAACTGTTTCAAAATAAATTTTCTACATTTCATGAGGAATAATTAGACCATGTTTGCAGTGTAAACTGGCATTCCAAATGCTAATGTGGCTATGCTAACTTTTCCCTGTTCTCTCAGCCAAAGCATTTGTTTAAAATGTGAATAAATGTCAACCTTAAAAAAAACYTGGGAGTGTTCCCATGAGACAACCCAGGCTACCAATACCTCTGGGGATATCATGCTCTGTGGCCCCTGGGGTTTGAGGTCTCATACAGCAGTGGTCAGCCAACCACAGCAGCTCCTCACCCAGACCTTTCATCTTTCAGACCCTTCCCAGCTACATCTCTGGCCATGTCACCTGGGGTCCCTCCAGGTACACAGCCTGATTCCCCTGGTTTAAACTCTTCTTCAAGTACAGTGAGTCTTGTTAATTTCCTGGTTAAGAGGGAGCCATGCTTTAGGTCTTGAGAATTGGCAGCCACTGTGGGAAAATCAGCTGCCTCCCACCTGCTCATGTTCTCCTGCAGTGACCAGGACTGCAAGGAATGCATAGACACACAGCAGACAGAAGGACACCGTGAGTCGTTGTGTGTGTAGGTAGCCACTGGAAGAGGGCCGACTGTACACGGAGAGCCAGACATGGAAATCCTCCAGGTACTCTGTGAACTTGGAATAGAACAGCTGAAAGGGAAAACCACAAGACAACAATTTCCTGATGTCAGACATTTGTGTGAACAAAGTGAGATCCTGACTGATAACCAACAATTTCCTAAGCTGAGACTCCAAAATTTTTTGGCTTTTCTACCTGGGCTGGTTAGCTGGATGCTATATAACCACTGGGTGCAGGTGGATGATCCACACAGCCCCTTGCTCTGGCTTCTTTCCTCTCACCTCATTACCAGCATCTTGCTGCAACCACACACCCCCACCACCCTGGACTTTGGCCTAGTCCAGCCTCCTACTGGAGGCCCCTGAGCCTTGGTACCAATCATTCCTCCCTCTCACTTGTCTGGCTTCTGAATTTTTAACATTGGCTCAGAAACCCCTTCTCTCTAGAGTCTCTGAACACACTTCTCCATGTGTTCCTAATAGACTATTTAGGAAATGTTCTCAGTACTTTCCCCAACAGACAGTTCATTTTCACTGGGCTCTGAGTAYACCAAAAGCTGGTGCCACCCATACTGTAACCCACATGGTCCACCATGTAGCAGGCACTATGTTGCCCATGGAATTATACTAAATTTTTAATGTTTCAATGCAATTCAAACATTATTTAGTGCTCAACATTGTAGAAAAAACAGAATTACTTATACAGAGGACTGATATATGAAATACAAGTAGAATAATGAGCAAATACCAGCAAAACAATCGAAACAGAATAAGACTATGTATTTTATATGTCAACTGATTGTCCAATGAGTTACAGTGGATTCATGGAATATAGCTACATGGACTCATAAGTGGCTAACTTAGTGTGAATTTCTTACACAAAGTTCTCAAGCAAAATAGCTGGAGGAGAAACAATGCACATCTCCTATTGTTAACTGTGTTCAGTCAGCTAAGTGGTCATTCTTACATGGAATAATTGTCTGAAGGAAAGTCCCAGTTGAATCTGTCCCTTGGTTTCAGGTGCTGAAGAATTTCCATATGCTATGGCTGATTGGAAACCCTTGTTTCAAATTCATGATGATTGTGCTTCCTAATAAATTAGCAATGTCAAGCCAGAAACTATTACAGTTGTAAGCCTGGTTCTCCTCACCACCATGACAAAGGGACATGCTGGAAGGAGAGCCCAGTGGACTGGTGAGATCCAGTGTCTGGGGAAATATCAGCTTTCATGGGCCCTGACTCCTGCTTGAGAACCATCTTAGGAAATCATTTGCCAGAAACCCAAAGACACACTCAAACCTACAGTTTTCTATCATGGAAGTAAATAAAAGAAAATCAAGAGTACCCAGTAGGTGGATACTTAAGCAAATAAGAGTGAATATCAGATATTATAAAGTCCTTAAATTGTTCATAAAGAGCATTCATAAAGAAATTTACTCTAAAATGTTGAATTAGGAAGCACAAAACACATAAGTCTTTTTATTACAACTATACAAAATGAATAGGGAACATTGGAAATAGGGAAAGATTGGAAGAGAACTTGTAAAAATCAAAACTTTCACAGTTGGTCTGTGAGATCATGGGTGACTGTCACTTTTCACCATCTCCTGCCATCTGGCCCTAATCACATCTATATTGTGTGATAGTAATCTAAGTTGTTTTGTATATATACACAAGGTGCTGGAAAGACTTTAATTAGGGGTTTGCTGAACATTGCAAACCACCAGTAACCAGAAATTCCATAGGTGGTATTGCAGTAATTGTTAAAAGAAGAAACATTACTGTAGCGATTAAAGTTGGCAAAGGCCATCAGTTTATGCTTACATGGCCACTTACTGCAAGCATCGTTGAAGATATGAATATCCTGATAGTTGACTAAGAAAAGAGATAATATGCCAAACTTGAGAAAAGTTTAAATAAATGACTATAAGAAGAGAAGCAGAGCTAGGTGCTAAGGTGTGCCAATCACCAGGTGGGCAGTTTGGCACTGGCATGGGACTTACTTTCTGGAAACCCAACCCATGGCACAGGCGGGTGAGCTCTCGCTCCACGTGGCCATCCCATTGGTCCGCAGCCAGCCAGCACTGGGCAGGGAAGAACCAGCTCTGTCCTGAGTGCAGCTCTTTCACCATCACGTGGCTAATGAACCAGCTCGGGGAAGGCCCACGGCTGTCATGCCAGAGGCGGATCTTCCGGAGTGGGCCCAACTGCGCAGGAGCACTAATGACACACAGCAGCATCACATCAGCCCTGTGTGCAGGATGGCGTGGGCATGGCACCTCACCAAATCTGATGCTGGCACTCAGGACACTAATGATCCATGAGGGGCAGATATGCCAACAAATAACTGCCATGCAGAGTGACAGGTGGAAGCCCCAGAGCTGGCCAGTGGATAGTGAATCCCACCCAGCACACAGGGGTTCAGCATCTATCACACTTATCCCCTGAACCTCAGTTCTGCTTTCCATGACTTCAGTTCCCCACCATCAAGCATGAGTCCAAAAATATTAACTGGTGAATTCCAGAAATGAACAATTCATAAGTTTTAAATACATTTTGTTATAGTATATTATAATTACTCTACTTTATTATTAGTTATCTTTACTCTTTTGCTAAGAAAAGTTTAAATAAATGACTATAAGAAGTCATTTACTTCTTACTCTTATACTCACTCATGTCCTTACTCTTACATGTCCTTACTCTTCCAGGTTTGGAATGATACTAATTAATTTAGGCAGGTTTAGTGGCCTAGAATTGTGATTGTGATTTTAGCATGCAAAATTAGTTGATTTCCTTCTTTCTCTTTCTCCTTCCCTCCTTTCCCCCCTCATATAACCTACCTTTAGTCTACTCCAAATAATAAACTATAAAAATACTTCATAAAATTTTATGTACACTGATGTTCCCAATGTTCTCTATGCTACTTTTTTGGGCTTATGATGAGAACACTCTGATTCTGATTGGCCTATCTTTTCCAAATCGTGTGGTTGAAATATCTCCAAATACCTCAGGATAAATGTGTGTCTGGAATTCCTTTCAAACAGGGTCTTCTCAGGACTGCAGAGCTCTTTGGTTTCTGAAAGTCCATTTTCACCACATAAAACAATGAAAACCTTAAAACACAGACACAGGGTGAGAGCTCCAGATGTTTCATAGAAGATGCCAGCACCCCTGGGGTAGGGCTTCCCTGATCTTCCCTACTTTCCATCCTTCTGGAAACTACCTGACAAGCTGCAGGACAGCTACAGGGCCCAGCATGGAGCTGAGGGGAGAAGGGGGTGCCCGCATGGCCTGCACAGTCCTCCTAGACTAGGGAGGATTGGAGGATGGGGATTAGGGCCTGGAATTGGACCCTGGAAATGGAGCCTGGGGTGGCTGGATCGTTTTTCACATCCTTGATCTAGAAATGTTAGTTCCCACCTGGGATTTACTGGGGCACTAATCTTTTTCAGGGTAAAAGAACACATGGTGGGGGCAGCATCTTCCTCCCTTTGGCTTGGCAGGAACACTGGGGGAGGCCTGCTAGGCCCTGGAGTGGCACCAGGGTCAGGTGGCAGGGGCTTCCACCTGTGCAGGTGCACCCTGGGGAGGCCTGTTTCCAGTGGGGCTGGGCTTGTTGTTCCTCACTGGTGTATTGCTACCCAGGAATGAGTACTGTGTTTATCACTTAAGAAAGATATTTTTTTTAAATTCAAAGATACTAGGACTGCTGTAAGTAGTCCTAGTTAAGAGAATTTAGTTAAGAGAATTTCCTTCTATGTGATGTTCACTGTTTATGAATTACTATAAATATATAGTTGATAGTCTAGGGCTTGTAGTGAGTAGAGATCATGTTAGATTTCGTGCCTAGCTATACCATGGCATTCCCATCACACACACCTCTTTTCTAACATTCACTGACCCATTTTCTTCTCAATGCCCTCAGTCCTACAGGTTTCCATAAAGCAGCCATAGTTCCCTCAGGAAATGGGAGTGAATTTTGAATGCAGATGGAACCTCCCTTCTTGTCTCTGTGACTTGTGGTTCTGCTCATGGCTCTGGTGTTCATCTCTCAGACCTTACTCTCACCGCCCACTTGGCATGGATGCTCCCCTATGCTGCATCACTTCCTTCAGCCTCCTACCATTTCCTCTCACTCCCCACCCTTCTATATCATCCTCCATCTGCTTGGGAAGACTCTTTTTAACCCCAAGCTTCCAATCCAGGTATGTCCCCACCTATCTCCAAGGTTTGTCTGATCAATTCTCATTCCTTTCTCCCTAGATCTATATCTGGGTGGTGGGTAATAGATTCCTGTCAACTCAGAAGAACTGAGTTGTCTCTCATAGTCTCAGAGACTAATCCAGAGACAGAACCAATCTCTTTGATCTGTTTTCCATGGTAAAGGCAGAAAGAGGGGAAGGGATTTGAGCTGGGAGAAGGTGAGGRGGGGTCCCACCTTCTGCTCTTACACATGTACAGGTTGCAGGACGGCAGAGGGAATTGGATGGGGCTGGTGGTGACAGGTGATTGACAGTTCAGTTAAATCATCAAATCATCACTTCTCATGCATTGAAGGCTACACACTTAGACTCCAGCGAGGTATCCCCAGGGCYTTATGTTACCTTTGAGGTAAATCGAGCTGGTGCCCGGAAGCCAGTGTCAATGACAACAGCATACAACTTGTGGCCAGGTGGGGTATATTCTTGCAGAAAAATGTATCCCATTTTCTTTTTTTCATGATTATCTATACATCTGCTTTTAGTAACCAAAAATCCATAAAGAATCATAAAAATCACAATAAAAATACTGGGAAGTAGGTTTTGAGGGTGACTGTGAGTAAAAAAAAAAGGAAAAGATATAATGAGAATTACACATAGAAATAGACACTTAGAAAACTGATCACACACACACACACACACACACACACACACCACACGATGGTCTGCAGGTTGTTTTCAAACATGTCCTGGAGTCCCAGTGCAAGGAGCTTCTGAAGACAGGACTACCATGGCAGAAACTCCAGAACAAGGCCTGTGCTGAACCTACCTTTGAGGTGGGAAGCTACACCCGCTGGGCCTGAGGAACTTTTGTCGGGAAATGAGAAAAATGCCAATCTCATGCTATTATGAAGATTAAGGCATGCAGATGTGTACTTCAAACATGCAGATGCAACATTCTTCCCCCTTCCCTCTTCTGCCTCCAGGGCAAGGCTAGGAGATGTTGGAGGGGTTTCAGGTAGTGTTATGGTTTAGATGTGATGTCTGCAAAAGCTCACATGTRAAACAATGCAAAAGGTTTGGAGGAGAAATGATTGGATTCTAGCCTTAACCCAATCAGTGAATTAATTCCAGATGGTATTAACTGGATGGTGACAGAATGCAGGTGGGGTGTAGCTGGAGGAAGTGGTTCACTGGGGGCGTGGCTATGGGGTATACATTTGAATCTGAAGAGTAGACTTTCCCTCTATGCTTCCCTTTGCCCTACTCTCCCACCATGATGTTCTGYCTCACTTCAAGCCCCAAGGAATGGAGCCAGCTGTCTATGGACTGAGACCTCTGAAACTGTGAGCTCTCAAATAAACCTTTCCTCCTCTACAATTGTTCTGGTCAGGTCTTTCAGACGCAGCGACCCAAACAGGTAGACTCATCTACATCCCACCTGTACCTGTCTGTGGGTGGCACTGCTTGCTCCCCACCTGTAGGTCACACTCACCGGGCACCAATCCTGGCTTGGGGAGAGAGATCCTCTAGCCCCTGTAGACCCACAGAATAGTATCCATATAGAATCCCCTGTGTTGGGCTCTTAACCTAATAAGGTATTCTGGCTGGGCTTAGCCTTATGGATCTTTTGTAAGATTCAGAGGTAGGGCCTGGAGTCCATACTGCTTGGAGACTCAGTGCTAAGTCCCCTGCTCACTGCTCTTTGACTGTATCTAGGATCCGGCTGTGCTTCTGGTCTTGCCTGGACTCTTCTTCCTTCTTTCCCAGCAAGACCAGGACAAACTTGTTCTAAGCCACATCTCATCAGCTCACAACCACCTGGCTCTAGTTTGTCCTTACTACACCTGAGCTGTGGCTTGGAACCTCCTGGATTCTGGCCAGATGTCCCTGGTGTTACTGCCTCTGTGTGACTTCAGGTATTGTCTTCTATCTGGACTTCTCCTGAGCTTTCCCCAAACCTCTTTGTTTACAGCCCCCTCCCCAATGGTGTCAGTGCTGCGGAAACCAGGGCTGAGGCTGCTGCACTTAGAGCCCTGATCACTGGATGACTGGTGACCTTCTCTGAGGTCAGCAAGAATTACATTAGTAATTAATATCTTATTTACAAATTCTCTTATTCACCAATTAGTCTTGGAAATACTATGGTTGATTAAGTAATAAAGGCAGAGTTTCCTATTATAAGAATATCAAGGTAGGAAAACTGAAAAACTCAACACCCAAGGAAGTACAGATCTGCCCTTAATATTCACTCAGCAAATGTTTACTGAACACCTACTAGGGACAAGCTCTGTATTAAACATAGGTCAGCCTGACAAATTAGAGAAGGTTGCTGCCTACAGAAGCTTGCCCTTGATGTGCCCCTGTTTCAGACTCTAAATATAAGTTGTTTCATATGAAACAGTGGCTATTAAAATAGGGTGAATTTTAAACTTACTGTTTAAAATGGACAYATCTCAGAGACAAAGAGAGCTATTAACAACTAGGCTGTGACTATAAGTATAAACCAGGTCAGACAAATCTAGAGGTGACAACAYAATAGATATTAACATAATCAATTATAATTAGCCAAATTCACATTGAACTAAATCTAACCTAAAAATTAAAAAAAAATTATGTTGACTCTCTTGTGTTTATAAATCTCTTGTCAGTGAATGTAAGTATAGACAGTATTATGGTTTGGATGTGAGGTGTCTGCCAAAAGCTCATATGTGAGACAATGCAAGAAGGTTTAGCAGAGAAAGGATTGGGTTAGGATAGCCTTAACCCAATCAGTGAATTAATCACCTGGTGGCATTGTTTGGTAACTGAAGACATGTGGGGTGAGGCTGGAGGAGGTAGAGCACTGGGGGTGCGGCTTTGGGGTATGTATTTTATATCTGGCAAGTGGAGTGTCTCTCTCTGCTTTCTGATCATCATGTGAGCCACTTCCCTCTGCCACACTCTTTCACCATGATGTCCTGCTTTGCCTGGAACCCAAAGGAATGCAGCCAGCTGTCTATGGACTGAGACCTCTGAAACTGCAAGTCCCCAAGTAAACTTCTCCCTAAAGTCATTCTGATCTGATCTTTTAGTCATAGCAGCAAAAAAGCTCAGACATACAGTTGGATATAGTATTTAAAGACAATTATCTCCTAATATTCATAATCAAGAAAACACAATAAGACCCTCATCATTATASAAAATACATGTATGAAAATGTGAATTTGGTGTCAACATACCTTATATATAATCAGAGATAAGATAAATTAGGTATAATGGTGTATTAAGAATTGTAATGCAAAAATAAATAAATAAAATTTTTTTAAAACAGATTTCAAGCATCTGCTTAATTATACATGAGCATGCTGAGTGGGCAGTGGCAACAACAAAATGAAATCTTGATTTAGAAGATGGAACTTACTGCTGTAAACTGGATATGTCGTTCACTTCAAAACCGGCCTTCAGCTTTCTTCTCAGGACAGAGAACACTGCGAGGTGGTCATAGCTAGGAGGGAAATGCACATTACCATACCGAATGTGTAATAGGAGCAGCTGTTCACAGGGTAGTGGTAAGATAACCAGAGTGAAAAAGAAAACAGGTCCTCAACATACTGCTACCATGTGTGACCAGTTCACAGTGTATATTAATGCCATCATTCATTCTCTATTACATACCAGTCCCTGCTAGTTACTGGTATGTAATAGAGAATGAATGATGGCATTAATTTATAATTAAATATAAAAGTGGAATATTGGGCCKTTACCTGGAAATTCAAATGGCAGAACCACAAAAGGGTGCAACACAATAAAGTCAAAAACAAAGATGAATGTCATTGAGATGCTCCAATCAGGACATATTTGCCTCCTAACTGGCAACCATAATATATAGTTTCTTATGGTTTAATTTTTCCTAAGGAGGAAATGACTATTTCTTCTTCTAAATATGCCTAAATTATTGTTGATCTCTACCTTAACAAGAGGGTAAGGACAACCAAAATGAAAGGACTAAGCTTCTCATACAATTGTAAATTTTGTGGCTAGAAAAAAAAGAATTTCCAATTTAGTAACATGATTCAGATACCCAGAAATTCCTGAGAAGGGAGCTCATGTCTGTTCAGAGTCTCATGATGTTCATCCTTGAGCCAGGCCTGGGGGTGTGGGGTGAGGACTCCTCTGCACAGGAAGAAGAGGGACAGAGGGGCAGTGAGAGCAGAGGACCCTGTCTGACTTCAAACTGCACACCCAAGGGGTGCCAGCATTTCCATTATAATAAAACTGGACCCCTGTGCCACTTCTCTGTTGACTCATTTCTGAGTAGAAAGAAGCTCAATAAATAGCTACTGCACTGCAGTCACCACAGGGAGGGGTGGGCATGATGACCAGGTAGAAACCAGTCCCCTCCCTTCAGAGCCACAGGGCAGCAAGGGAGAATTAAGACTGACATGAGAATGGGTATAAAAGGCTCATCCTGTTAGGGTTGCGCCATCCAAGACTTTTCCAGCTATTCATGGGAGGACATGATTCAGAAGAGGTTCCAGGGCCTGACCAAATGAAGAAGCCAATGTAGTCACTTGCTAAAATTCCCGGACTCTTTCCCAACAGTATGCTCATACCTGCAATTAACTTTTTCTGGAGAAGTTCCTGGTTGTGGAGAGAAACTTTCAGATTTCCATTCTCTCTTATCCCAAAACAGGCATTGGATCCACTGGAAATGTACTGTGTAGTTCACTGCCTTAGCAAAGTATTTGTTTGGAGGTCTTCTGTCATAGTCAGCATCTAACAAGGATAAATATCCCACATTGGCACCTACACAGGGAAAAGGCAAACAGTCTGAAGTTTGCAAAAGGCATACTCCATTCCAGACAGAGGAGCTGGCAGGTGGGGAAAGTAGAAAGAGATGGGCAGAGATTGAAAGGGGACATTAAATTCTGGCCTTTTTTGTTTCCAGAGCATTTAAATGGTGAATTACACCCACTCAAACTTTCATTTGACTATGGCAAAGTGCTAGGAAGGAAAACAGTATTTCCAGGGCTTGTGATGTTCCAAGTCCTTCCTGAGACCCTGAACAAACCAGTCACCTCATTTTAGTGGAGATGGAGAGAGTTCAGTCTTCAGATGTCATTCAAGCCACTTTCTATTTCTCCCCAGCCTGTGGGCCAACCTGTCAAACATCAGCATATCAGAGTCTGCATCCTTCTTGTTTAAGGGCAGTACAGTGATTCGTGTGGTGTTTTGGGTATGTGTTTGTTTGTTTTTTGGTATAGGGGATTGAACCCAGGGGCACTTAACCACTGAACCACATCCCCAGCCCTTTTAAACTTTTTTTTTTTTTTAAATTTTGAGAAAGGGACTTACTAAGTTGCTTGGTGCCTTGCTAAGTTGCTATGCTGGCCTTGAACTTGCCATCCTTGTGCCTCAGCCTCCTAAACCACTAGGATTACAAGTGTGCACCACTGCACCCAGTGACCCATTTGGTTTTAAGCTATCATTTTTAGATAATTTTTATGTTTAAAAGCAAAAGCATTTTAATCTGTCACTTATTTAAAAATTTTCTCCTAATACTTTTAACAAATACCAGGGCAGTCACCACGGGGAGGGGTGGGCATGATGACCAGGTAGAAACCTGGTCATCATTCATTAGATATGAACTATTTGTATAAATATGGAATTAGGTCCATTCCTCATCCCACTCACAATAATAAGCACCAATTGATTAGAGGTACAAATGGAAAAAAAAACTTTACAAACACTAAAATAGCACATGAATGATTTCTTCTAGAATCTGAATATAAGAAATTAATTTCTAACAATAGTTCAAAATTTAAGACTCATGTTAKAAAATGCTGGTAAATTTCACTATTAATTTTTTTTCAAAACAGTAAAATAAATCAATGGTGTGCTGTAAGAAAATATATGCAATCTATATTACAGAAAAGGATGCAGACTCCGACATGCTGATGTTTGACAGGTTGGCTGACAGCCTTGGAGAAATAGAAAGTGGTTTGAATGGCAACTGAAGACACTGAACTCTCTCTATCCCCACTAAGATGAGGTGATTAGTTTGTTCAGGATCTCAAGAGGGACTTGGAACATCACAAATCATCCTAACATAGAAAGAGCTCTAAAAAAAAAAAAAAAAAAAGAAAAAAAAGAAAAAGCAAGCTCAATAGAAAAATAGGTATATATGAAAGTTTACATGAAAAAGTTGGTGACTGCCTTTAAACACATGAAATGCTCAGTTCATATAAAAATTCATATTAAAACTATCATTTTCACTTATCTGATAAAATTCAATAGATCAAAAATATCTTCTCTTGACAAAGCTGTGGGAAAGCAGGTATTTTCATTCATTGCAGCAAGGGAAATTTGGAATACTTATAAAGCCATAAATGAATTTTATTTTTGACCCACAAAAAAACATACCTAAAGGAATTAACTTGAGGATACACCCCTCCCCCAGATTCAATATAGTATATGTGCAAACCTCTTACGTACACACAGAAGACTGAAAAAACTGATTGATGAAAACTGATGAAGTGACTTCTAAATATCTAATTTAACCAAGAAAGCAAAATATGAGAGAGTATGAAAAACTGAATGCTCAGTTTTCCAAACTGAAACACTGGGGAAAAAAAAATGAACTAATTCAAACATAAGGGACACTTCAGAACAAGCAGAGTGGGTGATATTTTTGGAAGCAGGATTTAGCTCCAAGTATGGTTTAGACAAGTGAATGATGTAAATATCTCCCATATTAAAAAAATAAAAACATATGAATAAATTAAACTCTACTATTAAATACATGAAGAAAAAAGTGAACTTAATCTTACRTAATATTGATGTCAAAACTCTACACAGAGAAAATAATTAATTTGAATAATTTTGACTGTGTGCTTTTTGGGCAATACTAGAGATATCTTTGAAAATGGAGATACAAAGGTGCAATGGGAGAAAGTAAGAAGGAACCCAGGGTGTTGGATTTGAATTGAAGACGTTAGCATGAGCTCATCTCTCTCTCTCTCTCTCTCTCTCTCTCACACACACACACACACACACACACACACACACACAGTTACTAACTAAATCAATGACACCCCAATATTTAATGAGCACATTTGGTGCCCAGGTCTGGAATTCTAAAAGTCCCCATGACAAAGAGCTGATTCCAAGGAAGGGCAGGTCAAGTGCATGACAAGGCAGAGCATCCTGCACCCCAGGAAGCAAGCAAGCACTCAAAGGTTTACCCTGTCAAAAAAATTCAAGAAGCATCATGAAGGAACTCTCTTTGACCAAGTTGAGCATCAGAAAGAAAAATGATGGAAATGAACTGAACATATTATATTTTTGAGACACTCTAGGCACCAAGAGACAAAAGAACAAGGGTAAGGGAGAGAGAAGTGCTCCTTTACTGAAGAATGCCACCTGATTTATGGTGGAGCTAGAAAGTCATCATTCTGTGGACCACTGTATATCACCAGTGCTAACTTAAAACCATGGAGTGAGAGGCTGCAGGCAAGAGAACACTCAGCTGGTTCAGGAGCTTCACCTCACAGTGACTATGCAGGGRAAAGTGGCCTGTTAGACTGGAGGGGCTCTCCTCAAGCTAACTACCATGCTGGGCATTACCTGTTGAGTATGCACCAAACGCCTACAAACTGAATTTAATCATAAAATATCATACAATTTTAGAATGTGAGACAGCAAAAGAAATGACTGGGCTGGAATAATTTAAAAAGTCATTGTTATTTTTAAAAATGGGGGAAGTGTTCTAGATTTTAAAGGGACTATGAAAACATGGTAATGAAATGCACTCATGAAGTCTGATTTAATTCTGAATAAGAAATATAAAGGTTTAAAGACATTAGGGGAAATTTCAAAATTTTAACTAGGGGCTACAGGGTAGATATTAAGTTAATGTTGATTGTTTGGGGTTATAATTTTCCTGAGTTCAGTAGGAGAGCCCCCTTTTTAAATGAGATGTCTGTCAAAGTATTTTAAAGTGGAATGTCATGAGTCTGAAACTTTCTTTCCACTGGATCCTCCTCCTCCCCATCGGCCTTCCCCTCCTCCTAAGAGCTCACCCAAAAGCACACAAGCATGCACACCCCCACACATTCATGCACATTCAGACTTACACCAAGATAAATTTTGTGTAGCAAAATGTGAGCTGGGTGGTAAATCCAGATGGAATAATATAGGTGTTTGTTTTACTTTTTAAAACTTTTCTGTCAGTTTAAAATTTTTTTACAACACAATATTGTAGAAAAGAAATGTGAAATGTAAAATTTTAAAAAATTGCCATGAAGTTTAAAAATTCAGAATTTAAAAGTTTTTATTCATACTTTATAGTTATACATAGCAGTGGGGTTCATTTTGACATATTCTAACACGTGTATGCCATTATTTGCTTCCTTTCAATTTCCAGTACTTCTTTTCCCCCTCCCCGCTGCTTTCTTTATTCTACTTTACTGGTCTTCCTTCTATTTATTTATTTTTAAATTGGTGCATAAAAGTGGCATTCATTGTGATATATTCATGCATGCACACTGCACATGAAATTTTGTAAATTTTATCCTGAAGTTTCTCCCCTTTCCCATCCTTCTTCCCTTCTCCTTCCTCCTGGATCCCCTCCCTCCCRGATCCTCTCCCTCTCTTCCACTGTTCCCCCTTCCATTTTCATGGGACCACCTCTCTTTTTAATTCCTGACTTCTCTCTAGCTTCTGCATCTAAGAGAAAACTTTCAACCTTAGACTTTCTGAGTTTGGCTTATTTAATTGAATTTGATTAGCAATACAGTTGGATTCATTTCAAAAGAGAAGAGAAGTGACTGGGTCTCAGAGGAAAGTGACTATATCTCAGTATAGAAAAATTTAGAGATGAAAGGATTCACCCATTCACCTGAGGGTCAGAAGCCAACTTCTCTTTCAAGGACCACATGTCATGCTGGACATGGGTCTAAAGTATGTATCTATTAGTCTTGTTTGATCCATTTAAGCACACAGAGCTCCAGTTTCTTGATCTTCAGGGGAAGACACTGGMACTCAGGATTCTGAGCAAACAGGTCAGACTGCTGTGAAAGGGTGAGCCCCAAGGTCAATATTCTGCAAGGATCATCAGAAAGGGCCTGTTATCTGCTTTTATGTGACATACTGAGAAGCCTCACCTTGGAAGTCATGGTCCCTGGTGTCTAGCTGGGAGGCAAGGGGCAGCAGGCTAGAAAGCAAAGTCAAGGCACTTGGGCAGTGGAGGCAAATGAACTTCTAGGGTCAAAGCAGCTCCACAGAGGGGAGTTCAAGGAAAGAAAATGGAAGGAACTGCAGACAGCTACCAGTGGAACAAACCCAGAACCCTGAGAAGCAGGAGAGTCATAGCTTGAGGCAAGGAGAGATGGAGAGGTGGGCAGGGTCCTGTGAAAAGTGCATATGTCCCCCACACCACTGGATGACAAGGACTGTACTTGGTTATAGTATAGTTTTCACAAGAGTATTGAGAAATGGTTTGTTTATTAGCAGGCAAAGAGATGATTTGGATGGTTGTGTCATGAGGATGGTTATGTCATGAGAAAGAAAAACACTGCTCTGCAAACTCAAGTTGTAGCCTGAAAAGAATTGAAAAATTAAAAAGCATCTTGTCCACTGACCTTTTTGTGGAACAGCAGGTATGTRAATTTGGACAATTTGCTCATCCCAGGAGTAGATTTGTTTCACAAGAAAATCAGAGGGAGTAGGTTTCTTGGAGAATCTAGAAAATAGAAATGAAGTAGTGATGTCTAGTTTTTTTTTTTTCCTCTTTCAACTCTTTAGTCACATAATTTGTGAAAAACAACCTTCTTGCCCCAAGAAGTAGCATGGGCTAAAACGATCTGATATGCTAATCCCATGGCACCAGTTGGACTTTTAATAAATGGATGACACTTTCATCCTTCATTTCATTAAAAAAATAGAACGCAAAAGCTCTAAAACTTCAGTAAAAGAGAAAAACAAGAATAACCAGCACAGTATATAGGAATAAAACATACAGGCTCCATGTTAGGAGGGCCCTGCAGCACATACACAGCTGTCTTAATGCTTCACTGCACCTGTTGGTAGAGCTAGAAATTGGCAGATAAAGGACAATAAGCACAAAGTGGTCAGACTAAGAATTTTCTGGGAATTGAAAATTTACTTCTTCTGTGTGTTGAAGAAGTAAGTTAAAACCTGAACTCTTTGAGGAAATAGACAATTTCAGACATTTGATGGCTTGGCTCATTTGGCAGAATGAGGGTTAAGTCAGTGGGCAGGATGGCACTGTGCCAGGGCTAGCAGGCAGTGTCTGCCTAAGAGACAGCCCTTGCTTGGGAGTCCCCTTTGGTTCAGTCAAGCTACTCTCTCAATCAAACAGGTGCAGTGGAATAGCATCACCCCACAAACTCAAGGCTTCCATTAGCAATTTCAAAGTAAGATTCCAAAGAATCTTTTAATGTTCATTTATTTATCCTTCTTATGCAATTTAGTGATTAAAATGGCCATCCAATTTCACAGACTAAATATTACTGAGAAAGATAATTTATAAATCTCCTTAGATATATCTATATATATATTTGAGAACATTTTTTCCTTATTGAAAGAAAGGAAGAAGAAGGAGGAGGAGGAGCAGGGGAGGAGGAAGAGGAGGAAGAAGAGGAATAGAAAGAAGAAAGAAAGGAAGAGAAGGAAGGAAGGAAAGAAGGAAGGAAGGAAGGAAGGAAGGAAGGAAGATCAAATGGATTCCCAAATAAGATGATACATATCATTACTATCTATTCAGATGTTTCTCACGCCAATTAATAGGCAGAATCTAACCTGAAAAACAAACTATGGAAGCTTATTGTCTAAATAGTAAAATAAATAATTTCTTTAGACAATGAGCCTCTTCATTGCTTTGAAAACATTTTAATTCACTAATCTTTCACAAAAAATTCTTAAGGTCAGTGAGTCTTGCCACGATCTCATGGGCACTTTTGCAGTCACCCTCAACACACCTTACTAGCAGCATGACAGGAAATGCTCTGGTAATGGGCTTAGAAAACTCGATTCGTATCTGTAGAGACTCCTGGGGTTTTGGGGATATCCCAGTGAACTGATGGAAATTCACCTTTTCCCGAAGCAATATAAACTTTGTTTTATTTCTCTTATTATCCTGTAATTGAGAAGAAAACAAATTAAATGAAAGTTGTATGTGGAAAAGTGAGTGCATGAAAAACTAGCCCACACAGTCGGAAGCAGGCATGGGGCAAGGCTCTCCTTACTGGACTGTCTTCCTCCCCAAACTCCACAGTTACAGGTGTGTTCAGCCGTCCTCTGTGGATGGGTCTCCTGCTGGAGCAGCTGTAGAGGGTGAGCCCCACGACTTCGCCAACCTTAGGAAGCAAAGACCATCTCAGAAAACAAAGCCCAGAGTTGACTCAAACAAGAAAAGAAGGAAACCAAGGTATAGTGAGTGATGGTACCATCACAGTACTGCAAAATTATGTGCCAGATATTAGAGAATCATATAGAAACCCAAACTAGTTTTACTAGTTAGAATGGCAGGATTGGGGATGAGCTTAATGCTTCATTTATGTTACCTTTATTAAAATTATTTGTTTTAAAATATTTTTAATTTTTGAAGTGCTCATACAAAAAGACATATCTGCTTATTAGAGATAATCAGGAAGGCACAGAGGGATTTAAAAGAGTGAAGAACAGCTTGCCCATTACTCAGAGAAAGTAACTTTGGRGGTGATGCATTTCAAACCTTTTCCATGCATGGAGTATACACTGGGCAGAAAAAAAAATTCGGTCTTCCATATTTTTTTGCATAAAATCTAAAGTTCAAAAAATCTAAAGTTCATTCCCTTATGGACATAATTTTAATTAGTTAAATGTAAATTACAATTTACTTAAATGACCAGTGAATAGTTAGGTTCCTGTCTATTTGGGTTATCATAAATGATGTTTTAAATAAACAAAACAAAACATCTTGCTTTGAAATCTTTCCTCGTTTCCTTGGTGTGAATTTCTACAACTGGGTTAAAATTTCTTTAACAGGGTCTGGTTGTTTTGAAACTTCTGGTGCCTAGCACTTTCACAAAGTTTMTACCAACCAACATCTTAGTTCTCCCATGACATTTCCACAAGTAGTATTTTTAGATACTTGCATTTTTGTAAGTTAAAACATCATTTTAATTGCTATTTCTTTATTTCTCTCTAGTATGAATTACTTTCATATGCTGATTAGCTATTTACAGTTCCCAAAAAAAGAAGCAAATTCTTTAAAAAAAAGTATATTTTTTTTATCAGAATAAGATGCACATCATAATTAGTACATTCATTCATTAGATTTCACTGGATGCTCAAATGAGCCAAGTACTGGAGCAGGGCCAGGAGGCTGTGAACAGAGAGAACACAGTGAACATTATCTCTCTTTTAGGAGAACTCACTGGGTTTCTAAATGCAGAAGTTGATGTGAATATTCACAAAATTTCCAGGTGGCTGGAACAATCCTCCTGACTTCCCCATCCTAATTGCGTTTAGGCCAGACGTGCCTCTCAGGTGAGAGAAAAAGAAAAGAAAGTTCTGATAGACCCTGGGCAGCCCCTCCTCAGATTTCATTCTAGTGGAAATGTGCATTTGATTTTAGGAACAAGCAAACCTGTCCAACTCATAATCACTGTAYCTCATGTTCTAACCTACTGGAATCTCGTATTCTCTGACAATATATTTAAAACCCCACAGGGAATTCTGAATGGGTCCAATTACCCAGCTGTCAGGAACACCAAGTTTTGCTAAGATTTTTCTCAAGAAACTGTTCTTCCAAGAGGAGTAAAGTCAACAACATGTTCTAGGTGTCCGATTTAGGAGCTAAACAGGTGCAAATGTGCTAATCAAGTCTCTTTACTATGGAAGCCATCACTGAAAATTTGAAACGATCATTAAAAATGGCAGTTTGCCACTGTCCTGTACCTTCCCAGGTGCTCCTGCTTCTGGATAAGGGCTTTTCTTGAAGAACATGAGCTGGCTTATGTAGCATAGGCTCTGCATTCCCTCTTGAGCAGAACTGTGCCCTGTCAGGTCACCAGGTAAGTACACCTGGACAGAGCCCAGGTTCTGGATGGAGAGCTGAAGGTTGTGATGAAGAAGGGTCTGGAACTCCATCTGCCCAGCATTCACAATGAGATGATTCTGATGGCTCAAGGAAAGACAGCCCTGAAACACAGAGAGTCACACACTTGCATGCAAATAAGCAAACTGACCTGAATGCAGACCAGGGAGAGGTGAAAAGTCATTCCAGGATAACCTGTCTAAAGGTAGATTGGATTCATTTGCCTGAGTAAATATTTGCTCAGGAACTAAAATGGCAAATAATAAAAGACAAACTGATTTCTTTTGTTTAAGCAAACCCTTTTTGTGACTTTTATTCATTCTTTAAATGATTTCTATGTTCTTAGAGGATCCTAGCCCATCAAAAATGTTTTAATACCATGCTCATTTTTTTTTTTTGGTACCAGGGATTGAATCCAGGGGTGCTTAACCACTGAATCATATCCCAGATCTTTTTCATATTTTATTAGAGAGAGGGTCTCACTGAGTTGCTTAGGGCTTCACTAAGTTGCTGAGGTTAGGTTTGAACTTGCTATCTTACTGTCTCAGCCTCCCAAGTTACTGGGATTACAGGCATGTGCCACTGCACCCAGCTATACATGATCATTTTTAAAACTTGGAGACTTGATAGTTAACCTGACCATAGGGCCCTAGGACTTATTACCTATTTTTAAATATGTGTTGTGGTTTGGATCTACAAGTGTTCCCCAAAGAGCTTATGTGTTATACAACATAGCAATAATCCAGTGAAGATTGGATTATGTAATCATATCAGTTGATTAATACATCAACTGGATTAATAATTTGAATGAACTACTGGGTGGAAACTGTAGGCAGGTGGGATGAGGCTGGAGGAAATGGGCCACTGGGGATATGACCTCAGAGTATATTTTGTTCCTGACTCTTTTTCTGCTTCTCTGCTGCTATGAGCTGAGCAGCTTTCCTTTGCCATGCCTTCCGCATGATGTTCTGCCTCACTCAGGTCCAAAGCAATAGAGTCAGATGGCCAGGGACTAAACCTCTGAAACATGAGCCTCAAATAAACTTTTCCTCCCTTAAGTTGTTCTTGCCAGGTATTTTGATCACAGTGATAAAAAGCTGTAACACAGCATGCTAATGTGTAATGACAATTATTATCAGATTCAAGTAGAGTATTTATTTAATTCCAGCAGTTACCAGTTACATAAACAAGGAGACCTGGGTGACAGGGATGATAGATTGTAGGAGAATAGAGACCAAAGCCCCATTCACTAACTCACTCCTTCCTGAAAGCACTGGCCATTTCATAAGATGAAACAAACAATCAAACAAACTGTCTTTTATAATTTTCCAAAGCTCCTGAAGCAGAAATAAGTGAAATGAACTGTGGAATTTTTTAAAGCAGTTATTGATCAGCAGGGCTACTTTTTAAGTTAACGTGTATAATTGTTTGCATTACTTCATATCATTCCTCAAAAAAATTGAAGGTACCCCAAGGAATGATGTTTCTAAGTCCAAAATCTTTCTAAGTATTCCAAATGTAAATTATCAAACATTGAGAACATTACACAASTACCACAAAACTCTTAAAATTCAAAATAAAAAATTTGAACTGGTGTTGTGGCTCAGCGGTAGAGCGCTTGCCTAGCATTGTGATGCAATAGGTTTGATCCTCAGTACCACAAAAAATAAATAAATAAAATGAAGGTTAAAAAATATGAAATCATCGCCTTTAAAAAAAATTTCCAAATACCAATCAATCTACCACCTAGAATTGTAATCACAGTTCTTCAGAAAACGATTCTACTTTCAATTGTGAGAAGCAATTACAAATGCAGGTTAAATCTGGGAGAGGGGAACAGCTGCTTCACTGTTGTTGTTTCTTAGTACCCTACCAGTAAGCTACATTCTTAGCCCAGAAGCTGTTTCTATTGTTGTTTGTTTTTGACATTATAAAATGTTTTATTGTTAAATTAAAACATTTGCTGTATCACATCAGTTACCCTTCCATTGATTGACATATTGCCTTTCTAGTGTCTGATGTATTCTGCTGTCTGTCCTATTCACAGCAATCTGTATACGGGATAAAATTGGGAGTTCATAACTCATTTGAATCAAACTGTGAAATATGATGTATGAGGAACTATGTAATGTTTTGAACGACCAACAATAAAAAAAAAATTAAAACATTTGCATTTTTAATTTCTAAATAATTAAATTCTTCTACTGATAACATACCAACCCATTATGTTTCTCTTAGCATTCTTTTTTTATTTATTCTAATTTGTTATATATGACAGCAGATGAGTAGAGGAAAAAAAATCTAACTTACCAGTAATACATCTGAGATAATCTTCATTCCTTCTTCTTGTAGATAGTTCTCATTTCTAAATTTTTCCTGTGCAGAGGCTTCCCAGACTCCAGAGATGAGAAGGATAAGTTCTAGCCTGAGTTGTCTGTCAACCACAAACCTTCCCAAGAGCTGTCCTTGAGCAAGGAGTGACCGCGTGTACTTGAGAATGTGCATTGCACTCAAAAAGCTTAACTTCGTGGAAAGAAGAGATGTAAATAAAATCTTTCCAAGCATACGATACATATGCTTCTGCTTCTTTCATTATTATCGAGAATTAAAATTATTGAATTTGGGGTCAGAAGAACTAAATCAAGCTCACATTTCATCTCTACTGGTCAGCTTCCTTAATAACAGTTTGTTCTCTGTCATTTAGTTTTTCCACACATAAAATGACTAAGGAAATCAGATTGTTCTTACAGACCTTTATGCTTTAAAATGTTACTTAGGTTGAACCCTAAAATTCGCTCACAAATCCTTTTACAAAATGGTCCCAACCTCTTCTCTTTTCCTATCACCCACATATGTTCTATGTTGAGTCATGCTAAACTCTTAATTTCTCCCAAATAATGAAGGCTTTCTCCTAGCACCTTATGAAATACATAAGTCCTCCTATCTGCAATACTTTTAACCTCTTGTTACCCAGCAAAATCCTCATTTTCTGTCTCTCTCTTTCTAAACTGTGACTATGGACCACTTTCAAATATACAAAAGGTTGAGAGAATGAATAGTAGAGTCATACAGTCACCTGTCACCCACCTTCAAAAATTATCCTTCAACTGGCAATATTTTTTCTTTTATTCCTTACTCAGTTTTTTTTTTACAAATATTTAAAAGTAAATCTCACATATGTTTACCCATGAATTTTTAACATGTTTTGCTGATAGGTAAGAACTCTCTAAAAGCTGGTTCACAATGCCATTTTTACATCTAAAAAAATTATGAGTTTTTCCTACTTATGTTTTGAAACCAACTCTAAATGTGTACTGGAGTTAGCTTCACCGTTGCCTATTTCTGCAGAATTCTGTGGTTATCCTATGTATGGGACTCAGCATATTTATTGAAGTATATGTTTACATGTTTAATTTGATTCATTAATGCCTAAAAGATAAGGACTATATCTTTTCTTTTTTGTTCCTTAGCAGCTCCCAGAAGTTGATAAACAAATGTGTGTGCAATGATGTGAAATTACCATTCTATTTTTTTTATAGTCATACTTATTTAACTAAAATACAGCTTAAAAATACCTTTTAAAATCAAATTCTCCTAACAACAATAAAATTAGTTTGGAAGTATATTTAAACTACTTAATAAGGGCCCCACCCAAAAGGTTACTTACCATCAAAATAGGACTTAAAATATAAATCGTTTTTCATCAGAAATTCAAAAAATGCCTCAGAGAACATATTATGCCCACTTTCACACTTCCCACTTTTAAACCAAAAATTTCAGAAATAGTTACTTTAGAAATGTCAATCATGTTCAATTTTATTTATCACTTAAAGCCCCAAACTGCTTGCAACAGACTGTAGTGTTCAGAGACATAAGAGAGAGGGACTGTGGCAGAGGTGGTTTGATCTCCACCAGATTCATCCTTGTGAGCTCTGTGCAGGGTCATTGCTGGGCAGTAATTCCATGTCCCAGGTCCCTGGAGTTCAGGTGAGGCTGTGTGACCATTGCTCACCAAAAGAATGTGAATGGAATGAGGCATGCCACTTCCAGGACATCATTATCCACAAATGGTGGACCTTCTCCACTTTCTATTTCCTTGACTGGGGAAATATTGGGATATTTGGAGCACAAGAGGAAAAGAGCTGGAGCCACTGAGTCCTCATGGGAAAGATCTGTACTGAATACCTACTGAACACTGAACATGTGTGAGTGAATAAACTTCTATGTATTCTGTTACTGAGATGTCAGGGTTATTTGTTATAGCAGCTGACATTACTTCAACTAATTCAGTTTGTATCTTAGGAGGCTTAGTCAAGTCAGAAGACAGATGTACCAAAATAAATAAATAAATAAATAAATAAATATTACAAATCAAGTGTTAAAGTGCTATAATAAAGTCATGTGCAAAATTTATCTAGAATAAAATGAAACCTGCTTTTGGAGCTCTGAAGATTTCGTGGAGATTGTGGCATTTGAATCTAGCCTTCAAGAGAAAGTAATAATTTCCCAGGATAGGAAATAACATTTTCTGTGTTAAGAAAAAACTTATTATTTCAGGGACATTAGGAAAATCAAGAGTGAATGAAGGTGAAAGGTGGTTACATCAGGAGATATTGAATATGAGGTGCAAAGTGAGTTGAAACCAGGTAGAGTCCTTAAACGATATGCAGAAGGATTAAATTTTATCCTCAGAGGACCAGGAACCATCTATTTTATAGTAGATAGGAGATAGGCCAGATATGCCTTAGGAAGACAGCCTGTCAGAAGAGAGGAGGGTCTTTGCCAAGGGAACCCAGCCTTCCTTCCCAGAATGGTGATGCTTGTAGTAGAGCAATTTAAGATGAGGAGGATGAGATGAGCAAGAGGGGTAGGGAAGGGGATAGGGCCATCCTACTATGACTCATTTATTTATTTATTTCACACCTGTGTTCCTGCCATTGTGGAGTTTACAATGGAAGTTTTCCAGTGAGTAAAGAGGGGTAATAAAGAAGTGAGATGGATGTTGACTGTAAAAATACTGAAGGAGATAACCCAAGTAACAAGAAGAGAAGGTGAAGGATGATTCTCTTGAGGAAGTTATATTTGAGCTGAGAGTCAAAGGAAAGGTTTCAGCTATTTGATGAACAAAGGAGTCGGCATGGCAGTAAGAGGGATTACCATACTGACTCTGAGCCAGAACAAGTCTCAAGGATGGTGGGAGAACAGAAAGAACATGAGAGGAGAAGTGACAGGTAAGGAGGAGCCAACGTGTTATGAGAAGACATGGAAGAGTGTTCAGCAGGAGAGTGGCATCAACTGGGTCAGGCTTGCACAATGATCCTCTGGCTGCTCTATGACATGCGTTATAAGGTGGCAAGAGAGGAGGCAGAGAGAACAGTGAGAGAGATGCTTAGCCTGGGGGAAACAGGCTCTGACCTTAGGTTAGAGAGGTGGGCAGTAGAGATGGAAGAGGCAGGAAGAGTCTGGCTATGTTTTTGAAGAGGAACTACCAAGACTCAATTGTAAGTTATTGGATGAGGAAAAGGGAGGACACTGAGGTGACACTGGGGTTTTCACAGCAGTTCAGGTGTATAGTGCTACCTTGTCCAGAGCTGGGGAGGGTGAGGTGAGGAGTGGATCAGGGGAGCTCCACCTTGTCATGTTGGGCGTGAGCACAGTGTTTGCCTTCATGGAAATGTGAGGTGAGTAGTTATATGCATGGGACTGGAGCACTTGAGAGAGTGTGGGTAGAAGACATAAGATGTGGAGTAATTATCATCTCCATCTAGGGTTAAAGGACTAGATGAGAGCACCCAGACAGAAGGTGTGGACAGAGAGGTCTAGTAGTCATGAGCCAGAACCCTGAACACTGACCACATCAACATGGATGGGTAGAGAAGGGGATAGGGTCATCCTACTATGTTCTGAACATAAAACGAGGGATGGATGCTTGCTGGAGGTAGGGAATCATTGCTATGGTGACTGAGTGTGGGAGGTGGGTGTGATTTCACCCATCTTGCAGACTGGTGGCAATTGTGACCAATCAAGAAAACGTGTCATGAAACCAAGATAAGTGAGTCCCAATGAAAGGCAAGACCCCCACAGAATGTCCTCTGAGGGAGAGGATGGTGAGGAGAAGAGTCCAGTGAACTTGGTATCGAGAGGATCCACAGTGACTTTGATGAAAGCACTAGCAGTGATGATAAGAAGATGGAAGCGCAAATTTGACAGTTTAAAAATGCAGGACGGACAACTAGTATAGGCCACAGCAAGCTCAGAACTCACTTTCTGAATGCTGTGCTATAAAGAGGTGCCTAGAAATGAGGGACCAGATGGAAGACAGTGATTTAAAAAAAATGAGATTATTAAGCATATTGGGTATCATTTGGCAGAGGGAAAAATGGAAAAAAGCCACAAAGGGAAAGCTTAACCCAAGGTGAAAAATCCCCAAAATGCAAAATGGGAGGGAGGCAGGACCACCAGCAGCAGGCACTCAGGCTAGGCACAGCTTGACCATAAGAAGCATTTGTCACCCAGGCTGAAATAAGGCACTATGAGGTGGCCCTGAATGGGTTCTGAACATAAAACAAGGGACGGATGCTTGCTGGAGGTAGGGAATCATTGCTATGGTGACTGAGTGTGGGAGGTGGGTGTGGTTTCACCCGTCTTGTAGACTGGTGGCAATGAGAAACTCCCATGGGCTCTCTAAAGTGTGGCAGAGTTAGAACATCTGTTGAAGGGGGCACAGCAGAGCATCAGAGATTTGAAGAAGAAGAAAAAAGAATGCAGGGAGATAGGAAAATCCAAAACATGCATTAATAATAAATAATGTCTCTTTCACCAAATGATTCCTAGCATCGATAGCTCTTATGTTTAATCATTTCTACTTTGGGTTTCCAAATTTCTATAGAAATAAAGAGATTCTTCAGCTACGATTGGAGATGCACAATCCCATTCACATGAATTCTTAGGAGAAAGTCATGTTTCTAATCTAAGTGTCAAAATATAACTCTAAACAGAATATTTTTCAAGAACTGATAATGGTGGGGCAACATGGCACAGGCTGGCAATATCAGTGGCTCAGAAGGCTGAGGCAGGAGGATTGCAAGTTTGTGGTCACTCAAACTAAAAAATAAAAGTTGGGGATGTATCTGAGCAGTACAGCATCCCTGGGTTCAATCTCCAGTACCAAAACGTTAAAAATTTTTAAAAAAATGATCATGGCCTCATAATTATGCAAAAAAAAAACAGGAAAATAAAACATGGAAAGAAACAGCACTTACCTTGTTAGAGAAGCTTATAAGATTTCTCAACATAAGAACAGAATGAATTATTTCTTCCTGAACAGCAAAATCAAGTAAACAACAAACAAACAAAGAAGAAAAAAGAAATTAGTGTATTAGTCAGTTCCAGCCTGCTTATGTAAAAGTAGAGCAGAATTTATGCTTTCAACTAAGAGATGACCTGGAGCCAGCCCTTCTCCAGTAAGACCAGGACCCTGGTTTGAGTTTTCTTTTTAGTCTAACATGCCTCTTCCTATGTGCCTCTGGCCAGTCTCACATATTTCATCAGAAAACTGACATGAAAGAGAAGGAAATTAAGGGACAGAACTAATTGAAACTTTGAGAAAAGTTCAGAGAGAATGATGAAGGAAGAAAAACAGTAGTTCAAGTGAAGAATCTTACAATGAAACAAGATAGTTTTTTTGTAGATGTGAATGATCTCTAGTGCCCATTATAAGACAGAGGTGCAGAAATGTGAACAAAGATGGTAACCTTTGATTATATCATCATTTCATAAGAAGTTGCATAAAATAATGACTATCAAGGATATTATAGTCAACAAGATAAAATCAGATTGGATTTACAGAATTTTAACTTACACTAGAGGAATTATCTATTATGATGATTGACTTGCAGTGTTCATTTATAACACATGTCAGAAGGCAAGAGAGATCAAACCCTTGTATGGGAGCCAAGCTGGCTGCCTACCTGGTCACCTTTCTTGCTTATGTTTCATCAGTAGGACTACTTCCTGGGAGTCAAACAGCCACGAACCCACTACCTGACACAAGTTTACAGACCCTGCCCTCACCATGCTCTAGGCCATACCTGATCTGCAAAAGCTAATTTGCATACAGAAGAAATCAATGCATCCTGTATTTGTGACCATTGACCACACGATGCATTTCTGTTCTCCTTAACCAAACGACTCAGGATCCCAGTGATCATGGTGACATAGTTCTTCATTTCCATGTAACTCCCCATCAGCTGGAGGGTGGACAGGTTTTTCAGACTGGAATTATATCTGAAGAAAACACAGAACTATCATGATCAGACACACTGTAAAACTATTCATCTTGCTGACTAAGGGTGGAATGGAATTTAGTCTTGGGTGATTCCCGAAAGAAAGAGTATGACACAAAGGAGAATTGGTCTGTGCAGAGACAAGACATCCTGTCAAACTCCCATAAAACCCTTTGTTTAGAACTGAAAAGGGCTCAAGAAGTCACACAGGTACTGATATGGAAACATCATGTCAGGTGAGGAAATGTAGTCCAGAGATACCACAGAGGCTAGAGCTGGATGAAGTTTCACAGCATCCTAATAATTCAGAGTTGGTAATTAATGTTCAGATGCACAACGGAGTGGATATGCATACTGTACTTGTGGTTTCTGGTAAAAATTACAAGTTAATGACTTCAGATTTCAACAACTGGGTATTAGTTTATTTATTTAAAAATGGTATATTTCAGTTATTTGCACTTGGAAAGACAACACGAAGCCCTGAAAATAGTCTAGTGTACAAGGTCAATGGTCAGTTCCAGCCCTTGCCCTGCAATTTCTTTGTTGTATCACTTTCAGAGCAACATTAACCAGAATAGATGAGCCTCAGTTTCCAAATGTGTAAAATAGAAATTCCAAAAAATGTTGTGTGAACACTTAGCATGTATGCTTAAGCACACATTTGACCAATGGAGCAATGACTAATTAATGGAGACCAAGACTGTAGGAATCCAGACTGAAGATAAAAACACACAAATAAATCTGAGCAGAAAGACCATGGGCTACACAAAGAGGGAAATACACTTCACAGTAGTAGTCTTGCTAAGTCAATAAACAAGCCAAACGAACAAAAACAAGCCCAGAGAAAAGGAATGGGTCAGTACCCACAGTGATCATGATATATTTATCTAAAATGTCCAATTCTCAATGAAAAATTATGAGATACCCAAAGACACTTAAAGTATAGCCAAAACACATGAAAGATAAGCAAACAATAGAAATTGTCTTTGGGAAGACCTGAATGTTGGACTTAGCAAAGACTTCAAAGCAGCTTTTATAAATATGTTCAAAGAACTAAAGAAGACCATATTTTAAAAATTAAAGAGCCAGGCAGGAGGATCATGAGTCCAAAGCCTGCTTCAGCAATTTAGCAAAGCCCTAAGCAACTCAGTGACACCCTGTCTCTAAATAAAATATAAAATAGGGCAGGGGATGTGATTCAGTGGTCGAGTGCCCCTGAGTTCAATCCCTGGTACCCACCCCCCAAAAAAAAATTAAAGAAAGGTATAACAATAAAGAATTAAACAGAGAACATTAATAAAGAGATAAAACAATATATTTATGATATAGAAAGAACCAAATGGAAATTTTAGAGTTGCATGTACAATAATCAAAATGAAAAATTCACTATAAAGGTTCAAAAGTAGATTTGAGAAAAGAAAGAATTTACAAATTTGAGGATAGAACAATAAAGACCATGAGCCACAGAAATAAAACAGTAGGAAAAAAAATGAACAGACTCATGAAAATGCTGGGCATCATTAAATCCATAGATCACATTTTTCATTCTTAACTTATTTTAAAAGCCATTGCATGAGATAATATCTATAAAATGTTATTGTTGGGCTCATAATGCAGAGAAAGGTAATATAACAATAACAACATTAAGAATGGGGGTGGGGATGAAGCTATATTGAATAGTGAAGTGACACTAAATGGCAACTTGAACTTACAGGGATACTCGAAGACAACTAATAAGAAGATTAATATACTTTAAAAACACTTATTAAAATAGATTGTACCCTTTTTTCTTTTCTAGTTTCTCTAAAAATAGATTATATAAAAGAATAATCATAACATTGTATTATAGCATAATATAAGTTGTTTACATAATAATAACTTCACAAAAATAAGAGAAAATGGAGCTATATAGGTATAAGTTTCTATATCTAACTTGAAGCAATTTAATATTAGTTTGTAGAAGTTTCTAATAAGCTAAGATGTAAATTGGAAGCTCTAGAGCAACAACTAAACAAGTATCTGAAAAATATACTTAAAAATCATTAAGGGAGGGCTGGGGTTGTGGCTTAGTGGTAGAGCACATGGCTTGCTTAGCATGTATGAGGCACTAGGTTCAATCCTCAGCACCACATAGCAATTAATTAATAAAATAAAGGTATTGTGTCCATCTACAACRAATATTTGTAAAAAAAATCATTAAGGGAGTTAAAATGGTACAATACAAAATATTCTTTTAAGAAAAAAGGAGGTGATAAAAGAAGAAGAGAGGAACAAAATTATCATGGGACATGTAGAAAACAAAAGTAAAATAGTACACCCTACATTCAATGATTCTAATAATAGCAAAAACTGTGAATGTGTCACACAATCCAGACAAAAGATAGGGAATAAAAGGCTGGCTACGAAAATAAGATCCAACTAAAGGATAAATGTAGGTTGAAAAAGACATAAATACAAACAGATAATATAAGGCACCTAGAAAGGTTATATTTATATCAGACTAAAAATAAATTAAGACAAAAACAAGTATTAGTGATAAAGAACATTTCCCAATGATAAAATATTAGGAAGATTAAAAAAATATATGAATATATAGGGACCTAACAACAGATGCTGTACACATGAAGCAAAAACCAACAGACCTATAGGGAAAGGAAAAAAATTGAAATTATACTGTCAATAATGGGTAGAAAAACAAGGAAGAAAATCAATAAAGCTTTGTAAGAGTAAAACAATAACATGAAGGAAATAGGCCAAACAGATATCCACAGAACATTTTACCCCCCAAAAGCAGAATACACATTCTTCTCAAGTAATAGATTTTTTTTGGAATATACCATATATGTAGGCATTAAAAAACTCAATAAAATTTAAATTATTGTAATAATACAAAGTACATCCTCTGMCCATGATGGAATTAAATTAGAATTCAAAGACAAAAAGAAATTTGGCAAATTCATGAATATGTGAAAATTAAATGATGTATTCATAAAGAATCAATGGTTCAAGAAGCAGCAGAAAGGAAAATGACAAAACACTTTGAAATTAATGAAGGAAAGTAACTGGGATACAGTTAAAGTAGTGCTTGGGGTGAAATTTATAGCTACAAATGTCTGAAAAAAGATATCAAATCATTAGCCTATATAGATAACAAGAAAAAGAAAAGCAAACTAAACCCAGACAAGCAGAAGAAAAGGAATGTTAAAGATCAGTTCAGGAATGAATGAAATTGAAAAAAAAAAACAGTGAAACCCTAAGTAGTTCTTTGAAAAGATCATCCAAGCTGACAAATCTTTAGCTAGACTGACAAAGACACAAAATGAAAATAATGAAATTATTAAAATAATGAATAAACTGAATATCACTACTGACCATATAGAGATAAAAAAGACTACAATGCAATTCTATTCTTTTAAAAAATCCTGTGTACCAAAATATTACAGAATGTACATGAAATGAGAAAATTTCTAGAAAGAAACAAATGACCAAAACTATGAGACTACATTAGTAATTTTAAAACTTTCCAAAAAGAAAATACAGATGTAGATAATTTCACTCATAATTTTTATCAAATGTTCACAGAAGAATTGATACTTATCCTCACAAAATGTTCCAAATAATACAAAAGAACACTTGTAAATAGACTGAGGGCAGTATTACTCTGACACTAAAGCCAGACAAAGGCAAAGCTGAAAAGAAAACTACCAGCCAATAGTGCTTATGAATGTAGACACAAAACTCCGAAGTATAATATTAGCAAAACCAAATCCACCCACACAGAAAGAGAATTATATGCTAGGACCAATGGGATATATTCCTGAAATGTAAAAGTGATTCAACATGTGAAAAATGATCATATATAAATATAACTTGTGTCTTAATCTGTTTGGGAAGTTATGACAAAATTCTTTTTTTAAAAAAAATATTTTTTAGTTATAGATGGACACAAATCTTTAGTTATTTATTTTTTTAATGTGGTGCTGAGGATCGAACCCAGTGCTTCACATGTGTAAGGCAAGTGCTCTGCCACTGAGCCCCAGCCCCAGCCCCCAAAAGTCTTGAAACTGGATGAAATGGGAAGAACAGAAATTTATTTCTCACAGTTCTGGAGATTGGGAAGTTCAGAATCAGTGTACTGACAGGATGAGTGTCTGGTAAGGGATGCTCTCTGCTTCCAAGATGGCACCCTGTTGCTTCCTCAAGAGGGCAAGAACACTGCATTCTCATGTGGAAGATGCAAGGGTAATAAGGGCCTAGATGGGTCATTCCAGCCCTTTTAAAAGGGTACTAATCCCATTCATGATGGTCAAAGCCCCCTACCCGCCCCCACCCCCACCTTGATACTGTTACACTGGAAATAAAGTGTCATCACGAACCCAAGTATTCAAACCTTATCAACTTGTGAATTAGAATAAAGGACCAAAACCATATAATCACATCAGTAGGCCTAGCAAGAGCATTTGAAAAAATTCAACATACTTTCATGATTAAAAACACCCAATAAACTAGGAATAGATGGGAACATCTTCAACCCAATAACAAACACCTATGAAAAACTTATAGCTAACACCATACTAAACACAAAGTGGAAACACTGAATGCTTCCCCCTAATCATTAAACTGGAGGTTCTAGCAAGAACTGATCAGGCAAGAAAAAAGGAATAAAAGGCATCAGACTGGAAAGATCAAAGTGTTGCAGTCTCTATTTATAGATGAAACAATCTTATATATGGAAAGCCCCAAAGGAAGTGCTAAAAAAACTACTGAAATAAACATATTTAGCAGGGTTATAGGATACATGATCAATATGCAAAATCAATTATTTATCTACTACAATAAAAATTCAAAAATGTAACTAAGAAAATAATTCCACTTATAATGACATCAATAATAGTGAAATACTCATAAACTCTAAAAAAGAAATACAAGATGTGCCTACTGAAAACTATGAAACATTGTTGAAAGAAATTAAAGGTCTAAAAAATAGGAAACATCCCATGTCCATGAATCGGAAGACTTAATGTTAAGATAGTGATACTTCTGAAACTGATCTATATATTCTAGAAAATCCCTATGAAAATCCTAGTTAGCTTTTGCTTTGTTTTGTTTTTTTTTTTTAACACCTTCATAGGTGTTAGTAGCCCTAGCCCATAGTATTAGGAAGGGCAGGCTAAGTTGGAGCAAGAGAGAGGGTGGCCAACACCAGTCACTGTGGCACCTATGCTCTGTTTTGCTTCTGCAGAAACTAACAAGATGCTTCTAAAAAGTCATGTGGAACTTCAAGGAATTTGGGATAGCCGATCTTATGAAGAAATAACAAAATTGGGTTCAGGCTTCTCCGTTCCAAAGTTTACTACAAAACTACAGTAATCAAAAAACATAGCATTGGTGTAAAAGAGATATCTAGAAAATTGAACAGAATGGAGAATCCAGAAATAAACCCCAACATGTGATGTTGATTTTTGACAGAAAGCCAAAGACAATTCTGTGGAGGAAACAGTTTTCAACAACCTGTGCTTAGAAGTTTGGATATTCATATGCTAAAGAATGCAGGTGGAGCCCTACACACACACACACACAAACTCACACACACATATACACACATACACACACAAATTTACTCTAAGTGGATCATAAACTTAAATGTAAGACCTAAAAATACAAAAACTCTTAAGAAAAAATACAGATGTAGTCTTTGTGTTATTTCACTAGGCAGTAATTTCATAGATTGACATAAAAAACACAAGGAATAAAAGAGAAGATAATTAAATTGGACTACTCAAAATTAAGTAGGGTCTTCAAAAACTTTCATTCTTCAATGGACAATCAAGAAAGTGAAATGATATGTCAATCAATGGAAGGGTAACTGATGTGATACAGCAATCTGTATACGGGGTAAAAGCGGGAGTTCATAACCCACTTGAATCAAACCATGTAATATGATGTATTAAGAACTATGTAATGTTATGAACGACCAATAAAAAAAAAAAGAAAGTGAAATGAAAAGAGACTGAGAGAATACATTTGTAGATCATATCTTTAAAGGAATTTGTATGCAATGCCTACAAAAAAAAACTCCCACAAATTAATCATAAGAACAAAAATAATTCAAATAAAAAATGGGCAAAGTGGGTGAATAAACATCTAGAAGGAAGATACCCAAAGCACATGAAAAGATGCTCAGCATCATAGAGCATAGGGAAATGAAAATCCAAACTTCAATGACACTCATTAGAATAGCCATAATCAAAAAGCAGACAACAACCAGTGTTTGTTAGGATGTACCCTCATCCAGTGTTGGTGGGAATACAAAAGGGTGAAGCCATTTTGGAAAACATTTTGGCATTTTTCCAAATGCTAAAACTAGACTTATCATGGTTGTCAGTGTTATCAGAAGTTATGCATGGTTATAAAGAGTTACCAGTGGTTCCACTTCTAATTATCTATTCAAGAGAACTGACAGCATCCCTGCACACAAAATCTCACACAAGAATGCCTAGAACAGAATGGTTTGTTATAGAACCAAAGTGTGGGGAAAAAACCCACATGTCCATTAATTTAAAAATAAAAAAAAAACAAAATGTGATATATCTATATAATAAATAATATTCAAAAATAAAAAGGAATGAGGTACTAATATATGATCATCTAGATAAAACTCAGAAACATTCATGAAGAAAAACAGTTATTAAAAATCACATTTCATATCATCCCATTGAAATTCTAAGAATAGGCAAATTGGTAGACATGATGTAAAATTAGTTTCTACTTGGGGCTGGGGCTGGGGCTGGGAGGAGGAAACTAAAGATAGTGGTGTGGGTAGAGAAGTGGCAACTAATGAGCACATTATAATAAATACATTTTATGGTCGTGAAAATTGTCTAAAACTAGATTGTGCTGAAGATTGTACAATTCTGTAAGAGTACTAAGAACCAAGGAATCGCACACCTTTAGTGAGTGAACTATATAACAGGTAAATGATACCTTCATAAAACAGTTCTAAAGAAAGAAAAAAGTGTGTCATGGGTTCTGAAGCACTGGCACAGATGCCACAGAAAGGTGAGTCAACAGGACTATAGTGACAGAACCCCAACTTCTCCCTTTGCCCATCCTGAAATCAGTTCCTGCCACTCTGCCTTGCTGCTGTCCCCTGAGGAAATATGGACACTGCTTCGGATGTCTGTGTGGTATGATACTCACAGGTCCTCGCTGAGGCAGTCTTTCCCATGGAAACGAGGCAGCACAGTCACCGCCACAGAGCACGCCAGTGCCTTGGAGCCTTTGCTGTCTGTGATCTCAGTAGAAACCATGACTATGAGAGAACATGACAGGAGGGTCATCCTGAATAGGTGGCTACAGAGATGCCTCTTCACACCCTGACAGCACCAGGTGGATGAGCTTAGTCCTGGCAAAGTGCAGGATGAGAGGAAATTGCAGGCTGTTTGCCCTCTCAAGGTGCTTACACTGTGGTTACCAACAAACCAGCAAATAGAATCTCCTTTGAGCAGATCCATATGATGGAATGATGACGGTTGCTTCAAGGGCTACTAAAATAAGGCAAGGCATGGGAGTGGTACTTCAGGTTCTCCACTTCTGGGAAGATCTCACACCCCAATATAAAATCTGAGCATCAGTACAAGGCACTGAGTGCCAATCAGACAGGGAAGACAAGAGGTGTAACAGAGAGTTGGTAGGCAGAAGGCACCATTGTGTGCTGTGGGTGTCAGGGAATGACTCATTTATTCACATGCTCCCCCATTCACTCATTTGACCCACAAAAGGTGAGCCTGTGGCAGGATAGGAGGTTATGACCAAAAAGGATTGTTTGTGCCCTACAARTAATCCTGTCCACTAGGAGTGCTGAAACAGGGTGAATGCCAGGGCCACGGGGAGCTCACAGAGTGAAATATAGTCTCCCTGATGGTCCATCAAGGGCTGGGGTAATATTTTAATCAGTTCCTAAATGACGTGTATAGATCTAACAGGTATAGAAGAAAGGTGAAGACAAAGTCTAACTGAAGGAAGTTTGCATGAAGACATAGGAATGTGGCAGGAAATRGCTCTACTGGGTCTTAGGAATCCCTCCATGTGGTAACAGCTCCAGGTATGCTGAGGAGACCTGCAGATGAGCTCAGAGTATGGGTGGTGATCAAGTGGTGAGGGCCATAGGTGCAGATGTGTGACTTATACAGGAAGATACATGGTGTGTTGATCTATGCACCCTGGTGTCTTCATAACATCTTCAATTTGAATCCCAATGCTAAGGGTTTGGGAACTTAATTTTAGAGGTCACTTCTTCTCCAGATGTGGTCCCAGACACCTGCATCACTGGAAAGCTTGTCTACAAGAAAATTCTAGGTTCTGCTTTTTCCCCAGTAATATTTCTGAGTCAGTAAATATTATGTGAGCCCCTGGAAGCTCCAATTTTGTTTTTTGGGTTCTTTTGGTACCAAGGATTGAACTCAGGGAGACACTTAACCACTTAACCATATCCTCAGCCTTTTTGTGTGTATTTTGTTTAGAGACAGGGTCTCACTGAGTGTTTAGGGTCTCCCTAAGTTGCTGAGGCTGGCTTTGAACTTGTTGTGATCCTCCTGTCTCAGCCTCCTGAGCTACTGGGATTATAAATGTGCACTACAGTGTCTGGCAAAGCTCCAATATTATAAATCCCCCACTGCATAAAATGTTGGTCCTATGAATCATGATACAGAATATGAGAGAAAAAAGTAGGTTTTGGGTAAGACTGTTCAATTTTACACACTTAGTAGGTGCCATATTAATTTTTGCTAAAGATGGAACATAAAAAGGTATGCATTATGTATCTAATTTTGTATCTAATTATGTATCTAATATTGAATGCAGATATTCATAGAAATTGATTATGATAATCATGAACATTAGAAACAAAATCACACTTGTGAAGGACCTGAGTACCATCACTAACCCTGACACTACTCTGGGACTGTGACCTGAAATCTGATTCTAAAAATTTTTGTCAACATGGTGCTCAGGCCCTGCTCCAAGTTCTTCTGTTTGGATATCTGCCTAGCTCTATGGTCTGTGGCAGGCCTTGTGGACAGAGGCCCCTCATACCCCACATGCAGCTCTCAGGGGAGGGACATGCCAGGTCTTCATATAAGAAGGTTGCCTATGGATGTTGGGCCTCCTTGTCTGAAGGACACATTCTGCTCTGACCAAGCTCTTAACATACACCTCTGGCTTCGGACCCTCTACTGAGACTTGGGGGAGCTTGGGATGAGCATCCATCATGAGAATACTTTCCAAAGGACAGAAGTTAAATGCAATTTTAGCATTTAATGATTTATCAGGGCAAGCTCATGAAAGTCAAAATGAACCATTCAGTCAACATCTACTGTGCTAGCCTTTTGTTGCTTGACTTCACTAAACCTCAAGCTCAGATGGAAGTACAAAGGCATCACATACAAAGTGGAACATGATTAGAAAGCTCACAACTGCACCATGCTCAGGAAAGTTTTGCTCAATTTGACTAGAATCTAGAAGAAAGTACAAATGTTTTAATTGGAGGTGACAGGAAAGATTTCATAGAGAAAGTACTTTCACTAGACTCAAAGGAGAGGTGAGATTTCAATACATCAGGGACATGACCTAGTTCAGAACTTGGGATGAAAAAGTCATACCAACTCAGTTCAAAGAATCTTCTAGATTAGTGACTCTCAACCTTGCCTGCACAGAGCAATTGTCCAAAAGTTAAAAAACAAACAAAAAACTTCAGTCACCCCGGAGAGTCTAATTTAACCACACTGGGTTGTGCCCACCCAGGTACTGTGTTAAATGATGGAATCCCTTATATGTTCAGGTGAGGTCCATTCCCAAGTGGTGATTTAGAAATGGACAGGACCTCAGGGGCAGGGGTAGGAGTAGAAAGTTTCCCACACTATGGGATTCATTTTGCTTGGGGGTTAGAGTTTATATATGAAATTCATCACAAAAGTTCATGCATTCAAGGCTTAGTCCCTTGCTTGGTGCTACTCAGAGGTAGTAGAACCTTTAAGAAGTGGGGCCTARAGGAAAGTCTTCCTGTCATTGGGGGTGTGCTCTCATAGGGCACTCCTTCCTYTTTCATACCCAGACTTGAAGTAAATGAGCCTCCACATCACTTGCTCCTGCCATTATATACCGTGCTGCCACAGGTACAAGGCAATGGTGTCAATGAATTATGGACTGAAACCTCCAAAACTGTGAGCCCAAATAAACTTTTCCTCTTTTTAATTTGATTTATCTCAGATATTTGTGATAGTAGTGAGAAGTGGACTAACAAAGGATTTACAATTAATTTGCTAACTCAACATTACTTTACTCCATATTATTTTAGTACTTTATCTCACATTATTTTTTTGGTCTGCATACCTTGATTTGGTTTCACTTATACTAAATGCAAGATTCACCAGATATGGCATATTTCATTAGTAAATAAGAAATAGATTGGTGTTAATTATTTAATTCATATAAAAATTCTTTGGCATTTTATTATCTACATTATATGTCATTTAAAATTTAAAACGTGTGGTGTGTGTATGTGTGTGTGTGTGTATTTACTGATATTTATTCTAATGTTCTTCCTGCACCAAAAGGTAGGTAATCAAACTAACCTAAAAAACATTAAACTCATCAAAATGAATAAATAATTTTAATTTCTACACACATAGTTTTAAAAAATTTTTAGCTTTTGTAAATCAGGAGAAAATGTCTGGAGCTTAGTGATCCAACTCGCACTGTTACGTACCTTTGTAATTGTCTGAGGGCTGACCAGCTGGCAATGCAAAATAATACTGGGTATCTCTCCCATAGTACAGGGTATGTTTGGAGGTGTTTCCTATCTGGTAACTAAATTCATAATGAAAGTCCTATGGGGAGAAAAAATATGGGATACTTCATTTGAATGGCATCATCTATAAATATACATCTGCAACCTTCATTGCACCCAAGGACATATGCTGCAGCCAGAAACAGAATGAATGAGAGCCAAACACGGTCTCCGGCTGCACAACACATGTGCAGAGTTCTCCTGGTTCCCACTTGCACAATTCTTCCCTACAGAGCTCTCTTCCAAAGGACCCAAAGCAGGAATAAAACAAGATTCCTCACTCAGGGTCTGCTAGCTCTCCAGCCTGAAGGTCCTGTCAGTCATGAATCAGACTGACAAGTGTTCCTCCAGGTGAAGAGGATCCTGCTGCCCCCTGCAGTAGCTAGGCACATGTAAACATGAGTGACAACAGAGAAAGGAGATGGGACACACACTCTGTTAGGAGCAGAGGTCTTTGGAACTAGACTTTGAGGAAAGACCTGGGCCTGGTCTTTCCTGAGGACATGTGTGGGCTTCTTGAGAAGTGACAGAGGCAGAACAAAAGGGAAGAGACAGGCAGTGTATAGAGCAAGAAGACAGGGAGGATGGTACCAAGATTGCAATGTTGTAGCCTGCAACCCAATCTCAAAAGGAAGCTTGCTAACCCAATCTCAGAAGGAAGCATTTATTCCTTCACATATAGCTCTCTAATCATCACAAACTTTCTATAAGAAAAGAAAATAAAAGAAAGAAAAATATCCATAGTGACCTTCTCCATTGCCCAAATCAGGAGAGTAAAATGAAGTCCAAATTAGAGACATGCCCCAGGGTCAGGGTCAGATTCCTCTGAGTTACTCACTGCCTGCTTGTGTGCACAGCARTAATGGGGACTCCTGCTCTGATCATATGGTAGAGGCCCTGAGTATCCCACTGTGGTTCCTAGTAAGAAAGTCTCTCTCTCCTTCAAAACTGGGGGGCCATTCTGACCTTGTTTCCATTAGAGAGAGGGAAGGTCCCATTCATGCTTGAGCAACTTTCCAACATTTGACTGCAGGCCCAAGTCCTTTACAGAAGGGAAGAAGAGGCCTTAGTTCCTACTGCATGCCATGCAGAGCTCACCATAACTTCCAAAAGCTGCTATTACCTTTGGTCTCAGTACAGAAAAGGGGCTGCCACCTACCGGTTTTCCTGACATGCAGAACACACTGAAGATGGTGTGGGCCTCCAGACCATGGTGGGGCTGCACATGACAGGCCATGTCCTGTGGAGCTGGGTTGATTGTCAAGTACAGCTGGGCTTTGCCTAGTAAGTCTTGCTTTGAAGCTAAGAGAAAAATGGGATAGAGTTTTGAGCCAGGATGGAAAACAACAGTAACAGAAGTTTTTATAGCAAAAAAAACTTAGAGCAGTGGTTCTCAAAGGAAGTCCTCAGACCAGTAGCATTTGCATCATCTGGGAATTGAAAGGCAGATTCTTGAGCCTCTCCTCAGACCTGCTGAATCAAAGACTGAGATGCAACAGTCTATAGTTCAACAGACTTTTAGGAGTTTCTGACAAAAGCTGGAGTTTGAAAACACTGCCTTAAAGCATGCATTCATAGAAAAAGCATTTACTGGGTGCTTACTAGGTGGGGAAGGTACGTTCCCAGACCCTGGGCAATGAAAGTAAATGAGACAGACCAATTCTCTACCCAGAAACCACACAACACCCACCAATAGAGRCCAAAACCTGGGGGGAGAGGACACTGACAGACACATCACCCCACAAATCAAACCTGTTCCATTCCCCTATTCTCTTTAAGCCTCAGCCATGTACATAAAGACATCTAAGTTGAATTTATTAACTGATACAATTTTATCTTCTCATTTCATTAACTGTATTAATATCATAAGTATTTGTTGAGTAGCTATCCCAGTATACATAATTATTAGTTCCCAATGATTAAACATTTTATTTTCCACATTCTACTATTATTAGTCACATTATAATGACTATTCTCATATATAAACTTTTTAAAAAAAATTTGCTTTTTAGTTATAGGTGGACAAATATCTTTTTTTTAGAGAGAGAGAGAGAGAGAGAGAGAGAGAGAATTTTTTATTTTTATTTTTTTCAGTTTTCGGTGGACACAACAACTTTATTTTTTATTTTTATGTGGTGCTGAGGATCGAACCCAGGCGAGCACATTACCGCTTGAGCCACATCCCCAGCCCAATAAATATATTTATTTTATTTTTATGTGGTGCTGATGATCGAACTCAGTGCCTCATACATGCTAGGGGATCACTGTACCTCTGGAGCCACCAGCCCTCTCATGCATAAACTTTTTAATCTTTCAATGTATTTTTCTTGATATGAATTATAAGATGGAAATTTGCATGTCAAACTCTAAAATCTTGATGCCAATGATCATCATCAAGTGTCACAATAGGGACCTAGAGAACCTGTGCTACATATTAAGGGCTGGGTTAACACTGTTTATGTGTTTTATTATCTAAGGCAGCTCCTTCAATACAGGTAAAATCCAAGAGGAAAAAGTGACTAATTCCACCTGGCTGACCAGGAAAATCTCTATGAAAGAAGGCATTTGAGCAAGTAGCCCTAAGGTACAAGTTATATACTGGTTAGGAAAAAGACCTGAGGATAAGAATGGGCATCTCAGCTAAAATAACTCTGATGGGAAGGACAGAGTCACACAGTGGCCCAATGTGTTGGGAAGAGCATAGCAGGTGAAGGAAGCTGTCAGGGAGAGTGTGGGGCAGAGGAAAAGGAAACAAGACAGGACATCTGGGCCCCCAGCTCACTGTTCCCTGCCATCCAGGGACACTGAATAAGCCCATGAACAAGCCCATGGACAAGCTCCCAGGGGTCTCCTGCGCTGATAATATATGTGGTCTATCAAAAAGAATGGCTATAAGCTTGTCACTAAGACAAATTTCAGAAGCAAGAGAGAGGCCCAGCAGAAGGACAAGAGGTATTGTTAAACAAAAGCAGGCATTGTCCCTCTTCAAAAACAGCAGGGACTTGGCTTAGTTTTGGGGCAGGAAGAGGCTCACAGTGGTAGTAAGAATCCAGAAGATCTGTAGGGATCTTTGCCCCATCTACCAAGTTTCAGAAGAAAGTGAACCTCAAGTTTTTTCCTCAGGTGATGTGAGAGTTAATGCATGATACAAGATTGAAAATGCATGGCGGGTTTTAATGAATGCAAAAATGTGGACATCGTCTCTAGATAAATATTGTTGAATCCTCCCTACTTGTTAAAAAGGAAAATATCAAGAAGTTACCTACAAGTATGATCTCAGAATGAGTCATATATATGTGGGAAGGGATGTTGGGCACTGGGAAATGATATGCACGTGGGTGAAGCCTGTTTCAAAATAAAATAAAAAGGGCTGGGGATATAGTGTGCTTACCTAGAATATGTGAGTCCTGGACTCAAAAGCATTGGGGGAAAATGGCAATCCTTTACCCTGTTTTAAACATGTGCCTGATTCCACAAGGAAGAGTAAATCACAGAAACACAACCACTTCCTGCTCTTGTTCTCTAACATAAAGGAGCAGGGAACTGACATCTGGAGAGAAGGGGAGTCAGGACCCTGGTGCAAATGTCTGCAGGAGTGACAAGTGATTGTCCTTTCCAAGAAAAGATGAAAATACAGCCAAAACACTTATGGTTACCCCACACCAGATCCAACTGGCAACATAACATACCCACAGATGCTTGTAGAACATATGTCTCTCCACTGCTCAGTGAGTATGGTTTTATTGTCACAATAGGTTCTGTGATACCTACAGAAGAGAAGGCAGCCACAAGGAAGCAAAGGTCAGTGGCCTGCAGGACAGGGGTCAAGCAGAGCCTAGGCATCAAGTTCTGCTCTTGCTCCAGGGATGAAGTTAAATAAGTTGTATTTGGAAATGCCATTAGATTGTTACTACCTTCTCTAAAGAGATGAAATCCTATTTCTAGGTCTCTCCTGCCCAGTAGAAGCAATACTGAGGTTGGATCTTTCATCCTGGCTCAGAAACAGTACTAGTTTCCCAAGAAACAAGAGAATGCTGGTAAGATTTTATGTTATGTGTTTACAATATATTCAGTTTTCAATTTTGCTATTTTATGAAATTATAAAGTATGATTAAGGAATATCAAAGCAATTTTTAAGTCTTTGTGGAATGTTAGTTATGAGAAAAAAAAAAATTCTCAATCTGGGTATAACTATTGTCCTACTGTTCAGGTTTGTTCCTCAGCAGACACAGGTTGATCCCCACACCATGTACCTTTGAATCAAGAGAGACCTAGAAAACAAGGTTGATGATATAAACAGGGATAGTTTTTAAACATTGTAATTTTGCAATGGTATTTCCAAAAATGTTTTTTAAGAAGAAGTGAGGAGGAAATCACTGAAGAATGGTGTGAGATTCAGAGCTTAGGGAGTGGCCTAAGGATACCTATTACTAGAAAAGGCAGTCACCCAACAGATAGGGAAAAATCCTCATGCCTGTGCTGGGGAAAACTGGACAAAAACCCAACTGCTGTAGAGGGGCAGCTTCATTTTGAACCATCCATGTAAATGGCTCATCAAGTGGCTCGTCTAACCTGTGAAAAGCCACACCAAGGTGGACACCAAGGCATTTGGGCGCATGCAGATATGCATCCCCCTGTCAGTCTGTAGACGGGGGATGCATGTGTACAGAAGAAGGTAGCTCTAGCCTGGGTAAAGGAGCCCTGGGCTGTGGACAGACACAAGTAGGAGAGGGAGGACAGCTCCAAATACTTATCTACTAAAAGGAAAGTTTTATAAGAAATTGAGGGCTGATATCCAGAGTTTTCTGAAGCAGCTAGGAAATCAGGACACAAAGAGCACATTCATACCCGATGAGGTGTAGCCTTGGAAAACAGCTCTGCTGATCAGGGCCTTGGGCCAGTCGATCACAAGGGCAGGCTCAGCTCTGCCAGCGAGGAGAAAGGGGCCCACTAGGTTGTCCCCCTCACCAGGGCTCTCTTCCTCAGCACTCGTGCTCAGTCCTGGGAGGCCTGTGTAGTTCCCTAAGAAGATCAACCAAGTCCATGGATGTTATGCTCCATGCATGCATAAATATTGCACAATTAATCCCACTTTTATATACAATTATTTCAACAAGTAAAATAAACAAATAAATAAAAGATAGTGCAATGGGGTAAAGGAAGGGGATCGGGGGAGGAAGGAGGGGAGGAAAAGTGGAAATACTATAGAGTTAAATGGAACACATTATGTTATATGCAGGTATGAAGAGGTCACAATGAACCATATTATTATGTATAATTATATTCACTAATAAAAATATTTAACAAGAGAAAAAGTCATGATCTCCTTAAAGCACGAATGACTCAATGTTGACATTAGTGACTATTTCTACAATTGCTGAATACCACATGTCTAAAATAATGTCTTCAGCAAAAAAAAAAMATATTCAAGCAATGCACTTTGTTATTATGTAATTATTGACCTAATCACATGTTCCTTCCTTCCTTTATTTATTCAACAAATATTTATTATGGTCTACCAGGTCCAGGTCTAAGAACTAGAGATAGAGTGAACCAAACCAATAGAGCAAAAGAGTCAGAAAAACAAACAAGTAAATACATAGATAATGCAAATCACCTAATGATAAGTGTGATAAAGAAAAATAAAACAGGATTTGCAGAGAAAGAGAGTGCAGGGAGTGGAAAAGTGGTGGGGAGCTCCTCTCTAGAGTGGCTTCAGAACACAGGATGGAAGAAGCTCTTTGAAAATCTGGAGGAGGAAGTTTCCATACTGAGTTAAAACCACACTGTTATGGTGTGGTTTATTAATTGCCACGGGGAGGGTCTTCCAAGGGCAGTCAGAGGGAGTCAATAAAGTGGGATGGTGGCCTACGAGGTTGGGGGTCATGCTAGGGGACACAGCCCACAGCCTCTGTCCTGTGTGTGATGGGAAGCCACTGGAGGTACTGTCTGGAGGTGACAGTGTGGCTTGTGGTGGGGAAAGAACTCTGTCTGCTATGCAGTGAAATGACAACATGCAGCAGGAACAGAAGCAGAGTGACACCAGGCCACATGATCTCACTCATCCAGCCATTCACTCCAGAAATAAATCACTCACTCACCATCCATCTATCTGTTCTGTCAACAAATAAATTGTCCACCTATTCATTGACAGATAAATCATTCTTGAATCCTCCATCTACTCATTAGACAGACTAATCAAGTGTTCACTTGATCCGTTTATTCTCCTGACAGATAAATCATCTACTAATGGGTCATCCATTCACTTGATAGATAAATAAATCATTTTCTGGTCATCATTGGATAATACCCTTACTGGATGCTAATGTGCCAAGCACTGCAATAGCTCTGGGGACACTAGCAGAAGCTAGTCACGGAAGCTTTCTCTGAAGATCTCAGGGTAAAAGAGACTGACAAAGAGATGATTAGGCCAGTGCCCTCTGCATTAAACGGTTAGGAGGAAATACCCTTGGCTGGTGGGGGGTCATCATCAGACTGAGAAATGCTTCAGAGACTGGTAAATAGAGCAGATCTTCAGGGAAGATGCTTGGTAAGTAGGCAACTTGGGAGAGTGTGGGGGAGGCATTTTAGGCAGAGGAACCCCCTGACAGGGTCTGGGAGAGCTGGAACGCTCATTATCAGGCCTGAGGGTACTGAGAGATTTTTGGAGCAGAGTACAAGAAGTGCAGAAGGAGGTAAGCTAGAATCAAAGTTTTGGGCCAACCAGTTCCAGGCAGAGGAGTTTAAACTTTCCCTCTGACTCTGGGAGCTCCAGGTGGCCTTGATGTAAGGTAGAAGCACATGAATCTAGCCTTCAGCGAAGGGTGTGGAGAAGAGATGGAGAACAGTGGGCCAGGATGCAGGGCCTACATGGAACAATCATAGAAGCAGTTACCTCTCTGTCTTCCTCTAGATGGCATTGCTTCTTGGATATCACTGTAATAGGCTTCAAAATCTATGAGACAAAATCACAATGTTTCACTTAAAGCCACAATTAACAAATAGTGGGTGTGAATCCAGCACTCTGTGATTCAAGGTCATTGTGCATGTGACTTCAAACCTGACCCACCAGATGCACCCTTCCCAAGATAAACCTGGTGCCCAAATAAGGGGACAACCTGCAGAGATGGAGGTACTTGCCATCAAGGGCAGGTGAGAAGCTGGGTTGAGACCAGCTTCTCTCAGAGGGGCTCACAGTTGAGGCTCCTTCATCAAGGGACCCCAGCTCTGGGCCCAGTGGCTCATCCTCAGAAGGATCCTCCAGGGCTGTGTTGTCACCAGAAGCAGGAATCTGGTGGCCACCCACAGTGGACTCTGTAGAGGTGCTCCTAGTGACTAAAAGGGCAAGCCGACCGTGGATCATGGGTGAAGGCTCTCGTGAAGACAGCGTGGGTGATCCACTGGAATCTGTCATATTTGGCTCAGTGGTCAGAAGATTTGACTCTGATGACTTCAAAGTCGTTCCGAGTGCTGAGGCACCCAGCAGCCCCACAGTGCTACAAAAGGGAACTTAAACACACATATGACAGTGTTAAAATTCTGGACCAAATAGGAAAAATTAGCTTTTTAAAAGTCTGTAAATTTTGTAAGACTGCTCTGCTTTCAACAAGTCTGATRTGAATTCAAAACCCGCACTTGAGAGATAAACCCATGGAACGTGGTTTTCATCAGWTAGTCTGGAGATCAATTGCAGCAAACATGTAGGGGGGGATTTGCTTTCCCCAGGATCCATAGAGACTGAAGGGGAGCCTGCCAGATTCTCCACACCCTCTGTATTGGTTTTTCATTTATTATAGAAACAATTTGGGGAACATGGAATTTCTCCTAATCCTCACTTCCCTACCTGACAGTAAGGACAGAATATTACAATTCCAAAAAACATCAAATTTATGATGAAGAATCAGGAGCAAAGAAAAAAAATAGCCATGGGCATATAAATGAACTGTCAATCATGCTGTTGCTTTTGACTATGGGGGAGCCAGGATCTTGAGATTCATCCATCTAGGGCAATGTTTCTTTTCCTGGAAATTTAACCTCTGGACACCCTCTGGCTTTGATTCCAGAAAATTCAACATACCCCAAAAGAATTAAAGAATTCCTCTCCTGCAATGCAGGGCTTGACTGCATCAATGTCTTCATGTCCCCTTAGCCACTGAGACTAGCTGTACTCAGAGTTCTACTTTCAGGAGCTTTGTATCGCCCCATTGAACAGATTGTTTTTAAATGGCAGAAGGCCAATAGGGGTTTGGCAGGAGCTGTGCTGAAAGAACTGGCTGCCAGCTCACAAACAAAGCTGCTCTGTTTGCCATGGGAACTGTCCCCCTGATCACAGTCATCACCACATGAGAACTCAGTCTTGATCCTGGTTCACACCTAAGTGTCCCACCGGAACTTCGAGCCAACCAGCCCACACACCCAGCATGTTCGTACACATTATTTTACTTAGTCTTATCACCACTCTGTGGAACAGTATGAGAAAGGACTTAAATGTGTCAAGAATGATGTTAAAAAATTATTTAATCCTGGGGCATTAGACCATAGTTTCCTAGGTCATTCTGACCCAGCACACAGCTCATGTCTGCAGATTTCCCAACACCACAATGATAATCAATAACCCAGGTAAAAGCCCCTTCCTGTTTACTGCAATTCCTACTTGGACTGACCATTAATCAGTGACTGACCATTAATCCACATGCTGTGTCTTTCTCATCAATTGCAATTTCTTTCTTCTGTTTTAACCTATAAAACCCAGTCTCTTGGATATCATTTTATGAGCCCTTACTCTGGGCAACTAAAGTTGTGTGCTCTACCTTAGTGGCCATCCTCATTCTGCCTTGCATAAACTCTTTGTTCCCATACTCGGCATGCCTCAACTTGTCTTTTGGGCTGACAAGAAGGGTACCCATCTTTCAGTGAATCTTGGAGAAGAGGTTATAATCACCAGCTGGCAGTGCAGGAAAGAGGCTCAGAACCAGCCCTCACCATGCAGACTGTGTAGAACAGTCTGAAAGACTGTGTAGAAAAATCAGACTCAGTTTCTCGTACTATACTCTTACAACACAGATCACTTCAGTGATCCTAAATGGTGTGAGTTCTCCCCACTAACAAGAAAGCAAGCAGTTCTGCAGAAGACATCCACTTGTATTCCTCAATTCAGTTCAATTCTCACATTATGTTACTGGAGGTAACCTCAGACCTCACAGGTTAAGCCTCAAGACTGTGCCTATTTTGGGTGCCAATTGCGAGCCCCTGATGGTTTTACCTGTGCTTCTGACTAATCAGCTATAAATCAGGGGTTCCCATGACAACCTCATTACACAAGCATGACTGATTAAATCATTGGCCCTTGGTGACCAACTGGGGCTGAAACTCCCAACCTTGGCCATCCCACCTTGGTCTTTCTGAAGACCAACTCTCATCCTGAAGCTACCTGAGAGCTGCCAGTCATCAGTCACCTCATTAGCATACAAAAAGGCACTATTACTTTGAGGATTCCAAGGATTTGAGGATTATGCCAGGGATGAGTTATATGCCAGGGATGTAGACCGAATATATACTTCACAATATCATAGGGACACAGTCCTCTGAAAGGTGAGTCACATCATGTGTCCTTTTCAATAGATCACTGTGGCTTTAAAAAAATAAAACTGTCTCAGTGAATGCTGCACATAGCCTTCTGTCACTTCCACAGGGTGCTTGAGAGTAGCAGTTGATTCCTTCCTCTCTTTTGGAGGGTGAAAACAAGAGGTACTAGGGAAGCAGAAGCCATCAACCAGGMAAATCAGACATACTGGGTCAGACCAAACTCTTGGCAAACGCAAGACAACCCCGAGCTTTCTCCTCAGTCAGTAAAATAAAGCAAACATTTCACCTTCAATTCTGTTCTTTTCTGTTGCATTGACTAAAAAAAGATCCCAGGAATAAGAGAGATTTTGTATTTCTCCACAGTCTTCACACACAGCTTGGAGAGACAGTTCTTCATTCCAATTGACATAGATGTCTTTAAAATTGACCCAGGAGATGTGGATGAATCTGAAATATACAAATCAGTTTGATATTTTAGGAAAATGTATGGGCCCTTGGCTGCATGTGTTCATGCTGGGCATGCCCAAACTGCCCAAGCTGTCTCTTCATCATGGGAACTCAAGTCCGTATGATGGAGCACATGGCATGTGACCAGCTGCGCCATACTGGACACCTGATTTGATCTAACAGACCAGCAAGCACACTATAACCTGGCTCAGTTCAGAGAGGCTTTGTGACTTTTTTGAGACCCATGGCCTTCAGCTTGGGCTCTGGCCAAACCCTCTATAGAGAACAGCTGATGCCTAAGTAATCTCCTCATCTCCTCAGCTCAGTCTTCAAAACCACCCTCATGCAGACCTGCCAAACCGTGCACCTTTGTGATTCTCACCTAGTCTCAGGAGCTCACAAAGAAAGATGCTGCCATCTGCCTTGGCTTTACCTCCTCTCTGTGCAGGGCCAGTGGTGGTGGGATACCCCCACCCCACCACCGCCCCTTACCACACACAACTCCATATGTAACTCTACCCTCCACACAGCCCAGTGCCACCACAGCCACCTCCTGACAATTTCTCTAGTCTCTCTGCTGACCAGCACTTTGGAAAGCACATTTTGTGGACAGGGGTTCTTCCAAATGTTACCATATGGCTGGAGACTGTCAGGCCCTGTCAAACAGCTTTCTTTTCTGTAGGACTTGGCGAGCCTCTAAAGGTCCAGGAATGATAAAGACTAAGTGGTTTGCAGTGTTTCCCATGCAAACACCCCATGCACTGTGCCCCATTTCTCAGACCACAGCCTCAACATGCAGCTCCCTGTGCAGGAGATGAGAGGTGTCACGGTACAAAGGGCCGCACAGCTTCCTTGCAGGGAACCATGTCCAGCTTGTCCATGTGTGTGTTTGTGTGCCTGTGTATCTCTGTGTATACTTGTACACAGTGGTTCCCCCCCATCCACAGTTTCACTTTCTACCTTTTCAGATACCTATGGCCACTGAAGCAAATGGAAAATTCCAGGATAAATTCATAAGGATTGAATTGTGCCATTCTGAGTGGTGTAGTAAAATTTTGTATCATCTCAAAGTGGTGGGCCCTGGGCAACACCTCCTTCTCACTTAGGTCTAATGACTCTTATCTCCAGAGGGGGAGGTCAGTGAACTGCTGTGCCCATGCCCACCCTGGCTACTCGACTTGATCCTGGTACTGATGTTTGGGAGCTACACATGGACTAAGGGTGATGCAGGGCTTTTGGGTTTTGGTCATAACATTTCATTTCTTCTGCAACCTCTCATAGTCTCAGATGGAACAACTGGGTTCATTCTTGGGATGAACCTGAGATGTATAGAAGGGTTAAACTGGGCTCCCCAAATGCCTACCTTGGGACTCAGATGGCTTTGCCTCCTCTGCCATCAGCCCCAAGAACTGGGACAGTCTCCTGTCTTAGAGGCATATTCTGAAACAGAGGGAACCCTCTGAGACCCTACTCAGAGATTCCTGCTGTGCTGGCATGCTTAGTCTATCAGGAGCTTCCCAGAGATCAGTCCCTAGCCCCTTCTTGACAATGCCTTCCTCCTCTTTAGCAGCATGATCCCACATGACCAAACCCCAAACTGCCTTCCATATGCATAGATTACTTTCCTGGTTACCAACACCAGCCAGGACCACTCAGCTCAGCTCAGCTCAGCTCAGCTCCAAGTCACATACCTGAAGGCAAAAGCAAGACTGATGGAAAGGAACACCTCAGCCTTGGAAGAATTCCTGCCAGAGCTGGAAACCATGAGTGTCACGAGAAACTGGTCACAGCATTCGCTAAGCCATTTTGCTGTGAAGGAAATGGTGGGAGCCCCAGTGTCCAGTTGGTGTGGAGTGGAATTGTCAAAGCAGGGCTGTCCAGGTGAGTTGGCAGCAGTGCAGGTCCAATGATACCTGTTGAACGGATAGTCATGGCACCTCTGATGTCAAAGGGACGTGGGCATGGGGAAGAGATGATGTTCCCTTGTTCTTTTCCATCAGTGAGGTGTCAATTATTGGATTCTCAGACTAGCTCCTCCCACTCACTGATGTGTAACCCCAACTTCATCCCTGGGGACCCTCACTTTCCATACCAACCTGGTAGCTGCTGCCACCCTTCCTGCACACAGTGACTCCCTCTGCTCACACTTCTGCTACCTCAACATGCTTCTACTACACAGCATGCTCCCCTCAAGCAGTCTGCCAACACTGTATCTCATCTTTGTGACAATTTCACGACATACAGGAATGCCATATTGACCCAAATTTAGGAAGAAAATGCATTTCCAGAGGCCTCAGAGAGCTGCCCTATTTCAGAGCTGGTGAAAGATGGGATAAGCAGATGGATGACTCTAGATATCTCTGCTCTAATCTCACTATCTTCCTGCAAGGAAACTGTCATATTCAACAAGACAAATGTGTTTGCTTTATCAAGATCAAGCAAGCAGACAGCCAGTGTCATCCCTAACCCTGAGCAGTCTCATTCCTGAGGGACAGCTAAACAAGCAGTTTGGCAGGGAAGAATTGCTGGCTTAGAAATGCATGGCTGGAGGGTCCAGGACCAATCTGACAGTAGAGCCGTTTCTTCAGGTGCTACTTAAGTCTGAGCCATCATTGTGATTTAAAGGTGGCTCTCCCTACATGGTGTGAAGGTACCACATTCTAGACCTGTTTCCAAACCATATGAGGCGGCATTATGATAGCCCTTTAATCACCCCACAGGGTGGCAGCATCCTCTGACTTACATGCTGGAAAGAGCAAGTGAACCTGGGATCAGCTGGGCTATTCTGCATTCCCTGGAAGCAAATTCAGCACTTTTCAGCAGCCATGCACTGATATCTTGTTTTCAGACATGAACCTGGGTGCTGAGAGGTATAATGATAAACAAGACCYAGTTGGTCTCTTAGGCCCAGAGTAGAGATAGCTTTGTCTCTTTGCCTGGAGCATGTACACAGATGGAATTTTCAAATGGTGGGGTACTCAAGAGGATATGGAAGTTGGGGGAATGGGGTGGGGTGGGAGATAGTAATCTCTCTCCTCTTTTGGATTAAAAGAACACCGAATCCCACCACTGTAGAGCAGCAAACACATATGGTATCTCAGGGGTTAAGACAACAAAGCGATTCTTCTAATTATTTATAAAGTATTAGTAAAGTAGGCACTGTGTGCCATGCACAAGGGATATATTAAGGGAGAGCCCTGCCCTCTGGAGCTCATACTCAATGCAGGATGATAGTGAACAGTGGCCACATAAGTTAAACCATAACAAAGAAAGCCAGGATTCATCATTTTAAATGGGCCTCACTGGGAAAGTGATGCTTGAGCATTCATTGAATCAAAGGAAGGAGGTGGTGACAGACTCACCACTGAGAGAAGAACTACAGAAGGAACCTGACTGCCAGGAGCTCAGGGAAGATTACTCTGGCTAGGAGTGAACAGCGTAGGAGTCGGGGGCAGTTGCAACTGGAGCTAAAAGGGCATGTCGGCCTCAGCTGAGGATGTTGATTTCTACTTGGAGTAAAAAGAGAGTTCTGGAAGATTAGAACAGTGAAGTGAGAGCACCTAACTTGTTCTAGAAGAATCCATCCTCTGCCTTGGAGAATCGGCTGCAAGGGGAGGATGGAGGCATGGAGGTCTCTAAGGAGAGGCTGTCTCGAAGATGAGCTAAGGCCCTGGGGGTTCAGCACAATGAAGYAGAGAAGATATGTGGAGCTGGTGTTTCAGGTAAGGCTGACAAGATCTTGACAGAGGGAACAAGAAGTGTGTGTGAGAGAGAAGTCAGAGAGACAAAGAGGAGTCACTCAGCCAAAACCATTAGCAGGGAGAATTGTTCCTCAAGTGGAGATGGGGGAGACTGAATGTGAGGAAGTAGGAACTGTGGCTGAGAGTTCTCAAGGCACAGAAAAGGGAGTGCTGAAATGGGACAGGGACATATAGCCTGGAGTGCTCCCTACTGAGGAYGCATGTCTGTGGCTACTGGGCAGGGATGGGTCCAGGGAGGATGCATGTACAAGGATCATGGACGGACTCAAGTAGGAGACTGAGTAGGTCCCCAAGTCAGGCTGCAGATGGCTATGGGGACAAGGCCTGTGTCGGAGCCTCCAATAGCAAGAAACTCCCACAGGGACATGTAGTACTCTCCTCTCCCACACAAGGCCTCTCACCACCCGGAAATTTTAATGAAAGGGTAATGGTTAGACATCACCTTCCAAAATCATATTTTAAATACCACCTTTAAAAGCTATTCACATTTCTCTCCCCTCTTTTCTAAATTATCTTATGTTTTGATCTAAATAAAACAGTTTGGCTTATGAAAGCAGATGGACTTTCATTTCTTAAAAATGTTATACAGAATTCTCAAATGATTTTTTTCCCAACATTCCTGAGGTTGAAGGAGTCAGAGTCTGAGAGGAGCAAAGCTCCCCATCTCACCTGAGAGCAGCCCCCGGATAGTCTGGRTCATAGGACTGGGATCCTTGGAGGATGATGGGGGTCAAGGTAGCCCTGGGGATGAAGAGGTGTGTGCCCTCCGAGATCACACTGACAGGTGCCCTGCTTTGCACTTCCACACCCACGCAGTAGTTGCTGTGCACCACACTGCCCTGGATCTGAACCTAAAGGGTCAACAACAGGGGCGTATCACACAGGGTCAAAGCAGGTGCTCGCTGGATCTATACACATGACACTAGAAAGGGAATAGGGGTGTGTATATATGCATTCTTGGGTTCAACTAAACCAGTCCCTATTGTCAAAATAAACCACCTACTGTGCACCCATTGGAGACATGGCTGAAGCGAGAATATGAGCATTTTCCTATCAAGTCAGGTTTAATCTGCAAAGTTGCCTGGGCTTGTGAACATAGAACCTCAAATAGCAATATTCCATGTATGCCATTTTGTGACAATTCTCAAACCTCTTCTGTTAACATTTTTCTGACTTTCATCCAAATGTGTAATGCACTTTAAGAACTGTAAATGAAATTTCAGACAAGTGCTTTTTTTGTTTGTTTTGGTACTAGGGATTAAACCCAAGAATGCTTTACCACCGAGTTACATCTCCAATTCTTTTTATTTTTTATTTTGAAACAGGGTCTTGCTAAGTTGTTTAGGGCCTCAATAAGTGGTTGAGGCTGGCTTTGAACTTGTGATTCTCCTGCCTTAGACTCTCTAGCCACTGGAATTACAGGCATGTGCCACCATGCCTGTGTCAAACAAATACTTCTAAATTTAGAAAACATAAAACAATTTATAAATAAGGCATTCAAAACATTCTTTTAAAATTTTGATGGTAAGCTGTGAGCAGTGTTTGAAAAGATATAGTCTAACCCTTGCTGTACTTTTCCCTGGACTTGGGCTCATCCCTTCTGGATTTTCCTCCTACAAATGCACCCTGCTGGTCAGGCGCCTGAGTATAACCAGAGATAGCATAATGACCGCATGATCAAAACTATGATTTACACCCCCAACCTGTATTTACTCAGTTCCTCCAGCACCAAGGAAGCCCTGAGAAGGCTCCAAGCCTGTGAGCTCAATGTGGGAGGTGCTGGAAGGTGAAGAGATGGGAAAAGCTCAGAGCCTGAGGGTCTGATCACAAATATAACATCCAGATGAGAGCAGAGATGGAAAAGCAATCAATTAGAAGGCAGAGGCAGGACAGGAGGCTGCTGGAGGGTAGGACATAGCTAAGGAACAAATGTACCAATAGATGTTGATGTCAGAGCATGGACCCAGCCCTGACCCCTCACATGGCCAGCAGGGTTCTTAAGCCAGTTGGTCAGAACCCTGAGCTGGACATGCCAGGCTTCAATGCCCGCCTTATTAGCTGTTTCATCCCATCTCCCTTGCTGACCCCCACTCTCATGAAGCTGGTGGATGGAAAGAGAATCCCTTGGCTACACTGCCAACTGATTTCCCGGTTGGAAGGAGGATTTTTCCAAAATCCTCCTGATTTCCTGGTCACAAATAGACCTAAAGAATGGTGATGACACTGGTACTTAAGGTCTGCAGAGTAGATGAACAGCAGTATGAGGTATCTTCTGGAGGCTGATCATAGCCCATCTAGGGAGCATCCTCCCACCCACTCATGCCTCCACCAGGGCACSAAAATTGCTAGAGGACAGCTCCCTCAGTGACCTCACAGGACCCTGCCTCTGGACTACTTCATGTTGACCTCAATCTTCCACCAAGAATCTGCTTCCACCAAGGCCAGTGCCTAAGATACCCCACGTTTAGCCACAGGCACAGAAAATCTTCTTGTTCTTGTCTRCGACAATGAACAGTACAGATTACAAATTGAGATAAACCAAGCAGCTTGAATCAGGAGCACATACCATTTTCTAGAATATACCTACTAAAACATTTCCAGTATTTGAAAATTAAGCTTAAGAAAAAGAAATAACATGAATACTCATGATGCTTTTTATATTGCACAGAAATACCAAAAACCTTGCCTCCTTTTTGAGCCTCTTTTCTCCCTCCCCCTGAAGATGTGGCTTTCTGGCATAGCTCTCTCCATCTGCACTCCTTGCCAGTTGGGGGCTGTGCTCCCTGTCCTCTGCTGGCTCTCCTCTGGCTAGATGGCTGTATCCGATCCACTTTAGCTACCACCCACTTTCTATTCTGTTGTCTTGACAGACATGGCGCCTGAATACTCTCCAGAACTGTCAAGCTCAACCTCTTAACATTGAAGTCACAATCCACCCCAGGTCTCTGGTCATCTTCAGAAGACCCCCCACTGAAGCCCATTTTCAGACCATTTCCCACCATTCTGCCTATAAGCCCCAACTGCTTCAGCATGATCATCCCCCTCCCCATGCATGTGACTCACATTAGGGGGCATTTTCCGATAATTGTTGATCCTGGTCAACAAAGATGTGGCTGAGGGTTCAGGGCCGCTCCTCCCTCAGAGTTTCCCATCACTGTTTAGACATGAATCATATCTTCTGTAGCTTGTTGGGGTCCRTCTATCTCCCCCAATACGTCATGTGCCCAAGTAAGCAAAGACCTTATTTCTCTTTGCATCCCTTCCCAGCACACTCATAGGTACTTGGTTTCCATTACTCAGCTCCACTCACCAGGTCTTACAGATTCTCTTTGAATTTTCCCTTGAACTCTCACAATTAGTTATCATGGCAAATCAACTGCTCCTATCTATCCTGCTTTTCTCTTTATTCCATCGTCATTACCTGTTTCAGCCCCTAAGTATTTCTTGACTTGGCTTTTAGAACACTCACCCAGAAACCCATCCTTCAATCAGTTTCCGATTCTTTCTCGTTAATACTTYTAGAGAAGAACATGCATCATGCTCAGAAGCATTGTTTTTTCTTATGACCTGTAGCTAACAGAGTTCCTCACAGTGTGGTCTGTGGCCTTCTGTCACTTGGCTAATCCATGGTGTGTCTAGTTCTCACTGAGATAAGTACAGGATCAAGAGGAAGCATGTGAGGGCTCCGTTCATGACATCCAGCACAGATCCAGTGGGCTCCCTTCCTTGATTGTCCTTGAGGCTAGTGTGTGAGTCCAGGGACCCTATGGTGAGCTGTCTGTGGCCTGAGCTGGGACCAAGGCTCAACAGGACTATGCACCCCACAGAGTAAAAGAACACCATTCCTCTACTGCAGAGATTTTTGGGTTCCCAGTCTAGTCTCAAGGAGCATCTCCTCAGTCTTGCCTTCCCACCTAACTATAGTCTGACAGCTATTGCGCACTATGCCTGGCCAAGCTGCTCCCCACACCCCACTTTCTATGCCTGTGCACCAACTGTTTTCAAGACCCCTCTTTCATGGAGCCCACTCTTGTAATGGCAATGATTCCTTCTTCTAATCCACACATTTTCACTATTTTTTTCTAGCAAAAATACACTAAAAGCTGGCAGAGGGCCAAAGTGCCAGGTGGTCACTGTGGATACTGTTCTCATGGCCCTGCCCTCTGGTGGTGGTCCTTCCGCCTTTTCTGGGTGACAAGCTCCTACATGGTCAAGTCATATATTCTTCTGGTGCACAGGAAGGTTTAATTAAATAAACTAGAAGGAGTTTTTCATCGATTACGTTAGCATTTGAACATACATTCTTTGGGGAGAATTGAAACATTTCTTCTAAAATCCTACCCACACTCTTAACAACCCCTATTTGTTGGTAGAACAGATTTAGGATTACAAATGCTGAGCTCTTACTCCAACACAGGGTGGAAAGCATTGGTTTCAGTGAACTGGCAATGGCACCAGGCAGTGAGCTCACCTTGGCGATGGCAGTGTAGTTCCCGCACGCCAGCGTGTAGCTTGGGAGAATGATAGTTTGTCTGTGGACATTGATGGCAGCAGGGAGGAGGACGGGGGACCCATCAGAGTCCATAAAGCTCCAGGTGTAAGAAAGACCTTGAGAAATGTCACAGAGGACAGCAGCTTCAAATGTGACTCCCAGTCTCAGGGGCTGAGACCTCCATATCTAAGTATTGACAAGAGAAGATGTCCATCATATCTAATGACACAGTAAATTCTAGAAACTCATTCTCTCAAATCCCCAATTATTTTGTTTATGAATCACAGGGTGGAATCTAGGGTTGGACTTGAGACAGTAACAGAGCAAATACTGCCTCTATTTCATAGAAAAAAGTAAAAAGCACAAATGGAAAAATAAGAATAATAAGTATTTTTTCTTACATATTCCTACTGGAAAAAAAAGAGAACTTTTGAAGCATGAAATTAAGGGGAAAATATAAAAGGAGAAGGTAACTAGATTTCATTACATAAAAATTCTGAACTTCTGAATGTCAAAAATAAAAAATTCAGAAAAACAATAGAACAAAAAAGAAAATTGTTTGCAATATTTTTGAGAGGTATTTGTTTTCTCTATTTTTTACTTTGCTGAAATATTCTAAAGTCATTACCAGAAATTATGACATTTAAACCTTTAAGTACTCAATATATATCTCTAAAACCTAAGAGTTTTTTCTTTTCTTTTATTTATTTTTTTAATTGGTTGTTCAAAACATTACATAGCTCTTGACATATCATATTTCATACTTTAGATTGAAGTGGGTTATGAACTCCCATTTTTACTCCGTATACAGATTGCAGAATCACATCGGCTACT